CAATTGATTCAGGTCTTCAAGAAACTTCAGCAGGACATCAAGGACAACATGAGCATGGTTTCTCAGATCCACCGCGAGAACGACGCAGCGCGCCGGGATCAAGAGGAGCGAGCTCATAAGATGGCGGCGCTGAAGAAGCAGGTTGAAGAGGAGCGCAAGGTCTTCAAGCAGAAGGTCCAAGAGCTACAGCAAAAGTACAAGGAGAAGGAGCGCGAGGAGCTGACTCAGCGGGTGCAGATGGTCAAGGATTCCGACAAGAGGGATGATGGCGACGGCAAGGGAAGCAAGACCAAAAGCCTCAAGGCAGATGAGGAGGAGCACTTCAACTCAACATTGGTCATGCGGAGAATCCTGAAGTTGGCTTTCTTAAATGCGATTCAGAGAAGGCACATTCGCCAGCATCAGAAGAACATCGAAGTCTTCGAGCAGGCCTTTGCCACCATCAAGTCCACCACCGGCATCTCCGATATCGAGGAGATCGTCAAGATCTTCGTGGCACTGGAGCAGCGGAATTTTAGCTTGCTGACCTATGTGAATGCTCTGAATCGCGAGATTGAAGCACTGGACAAACAGAATCGTCAGCTGAAGGACCAGTTGGCAAATCAGCAGAACATCGAAGCCGAGAGCGAGAAGAAGCGGGCCTTGGCACTCACGGACCTCAATGCTCAGATTGAGAGCACTGGTGCTGCCACGGAGGACAACAAGCTTCAGGCCGCGCAGCAGTCCGAGATCATTGATCGCTGTAGGCCGGTCATACATGCCATCCTGAAGACAGTGGAGAGGGAAAATCGCGGCTTTGGTGGCGCTGCAGCTCCCGAGTTCGGTAGCACAGGCGAGAACTTGTTCGGATGGCTCACCTATGTGGAGAAGACCTTGACACAGTGGAAGGATTTCCTCCCAGATGCCAAGGATGCCCGTCACTTCCGCACCCCCACGAAGAATTACAAGTACACTGTGGGCAACCAGGTGTTGGCTTTGCAGCCCAAAAAGCCCAATGCGCAGCCGGCGCCCCTCGTGCGGCAAGGCGAGCTGCCCTCCGCGGCAAACGCATTCCTTGAGCAGGGCCCGAATCAACGGGCTGCGCTCGCGGGCCGCGAGGAGGACTCGAGTGACGACGAGGAAGACCTCATGACACACCCGTGGTCCAGGCAAGAGCTTCGCGACAGGGCCAATGCCTCTGTTGCCAAACGTCGCCGCCCTCGGCGAACCGAGGGCACGGCTGCCGCAGGTCAGCAGTCGGGAGGCGCAGAGCAGCGCCAAGGCGAAGAGGCCGCTGCCGCCTCTGCCAGTGAAGTGCCAGCTGGGGAGCTCAACTACGAGGAGATGCTCGAGAGGCCTGGCAAAGATGACGCCGAAGATTCGGGGGGCTCGGATGATTCAGAACTGGATGACGACATCGGTCCAACAGATGAGGAAATCAACGAGATCTTCTTGAAGCGGTACAAGATGTCCAAAGAGGAGCTTCAAGGAATGGCAGATAAGATGGGCATTCAGCTCAACAATCTTTGCTACTTGAAGCAGGAGTTCGATGCTTATGACGAAGACCGCAGCGGCTACATTGATGTGAAGGAGCTGAAGGGGCTGCTGGAGAAGCTTGGCGAGGAGCTTGGCGAGGAGGAGTTGGACCAGGCCTTCAGAGAACTCGACAGCGATGGCAGCGGTGAGATCGAGTTCTTCGAATTCGTCGAGTGGTTCACGTCCGAGGACTGACCGTCCCTGTGACTGGCATGCGCTTATCCGTTTCACTCGCCCTGCAGCTGATGAACGCCCAGGCTAGGGCCAAAAGCTCGCAACAACTTCTGATGATGTCGGCATTGCTAATGGCTCGTTGTTGTCAAAAGCCAGTGCATGTGGCAAGCTGCAGGGCAACGAATCATGCCTCTGCAGAGGATTGAAATAGGACCCGATTTAAGGGCTGCTAAGGTGCCCTCTTCAATATGACTATCAGCATCGACAATCCCAGCCAACTTCTCGTGTTGTATGACTTCAGCTTTGTTACGGTCAATAGTCAATAACCTCGGGCAAGCATGCACTTTATGGCCCTTGATTATTTCAGACCAGAGAGGGCTGCGGTTTGAGCCGCCCTTCTCTCAGACCTGGCGTGCCGAGCCGGGACAGCATGTCAACTCAAGCAAAGGCTTGCGATGGATTCGCGGCTACCTCTTAAATTTGGAGGCAAGCCAGGTCTGCTGACGTTGCGTGACCACGGCAAGGCAGCTTCGCAAGACGTTCTCACACCCCATCCTGTCCTTCAACAAACACCTCTAAGTGTTGAGCTTGCTTCAAGTTGGGAATCGTGAATGCACCCAACGCCTGCTGCCTCGATATTCTCAACCTCGCCAAACACTTCGCTGTTCAACAGGGGAGCTTCCGCGCGAACAATTTCACTCCGACCGGCCAACAGGGCCGGAAGGATCGTACATATTGGGCGCGCGAAAGACGCAGAGAGAGAGAGAGAGAGAGAGAGAGAGAGAGAGAGAGCGAGCGAGAGGGCCAGGGTCCCCCCGGAGGCCCACACCCCTCAGCAAGCAAGCAAGCAAGCAAGAGAGAGAGAGAGAGAGAGAAGCGGGGCGGGGACGCTCGGAGAGCCGAGAAGAACCACTCCGAATCTAGGTCTGGAAGACAAGCTTTCTCTTCTGGGGGGAAGGGATCCACGTGCAAGGGAACTGGAGCAATGCGTGGTTGTAACTACCTGAGTGCTACGCGCAAGAAGTGGGCTGCAATTTCCAATCGAGGAGACATATGGACCTTGCGCATCCAGTTTCCACGGGTGGCATCTGCTGGCAAAGCTACGACACCACGATAACTCTGGCCTTCGGGTCAAGCTCACTTCCCACTCTCGTGAAAGGCCTGTGCTCGTGTTGTTGAAGCACCATCGCCCACCGCAGCTGTTTCGGCTTTCGCACTACGTGCAAAGCTCGAGCCTCTTCCCCTGCTTGACAGCGTTGTAGCTTTGGAGATGATGGAGCTCATTCTGAAAGTGATGCTTGGGGCACTTTGTGTTCATGCTTTGGATGAAGCTTTGTTGGCGGATGATGTGTGTGTTGGCCCTGACTGTTCTCTGTCCCTACTGCAAAGCCAGACGAGGGCAACAAGCGAGGCAAGCTTGAATGAGACTGCAGCTTGGCAGGGTGCTCGCGAGACCAGCAACACCTGCCTGTGGTCAAAGTGTGACGTCAACCTGGGTCCGACAGATTGCTACCACTTCCGCTGCGTCTGCAAGGCAGATCACGTGTGGAACCCTCGCTTAAAGCAGTGCGTGCACCGCTACACGCCTGCAGGACGTGAAGTCACGCGCTCAGTTGGGATGCAATGCGAGCAGGGGCTTCACATTTGACAGAGACAATCGAGCAGCGAGGTGGTTTGAACGAGGGGTGGGGCCGGGGTACTTACGGTTACTTCGTTTACCAGCTACCATGCCCAGGTCATCTCTCCTCAAGACACAGGCGCGACATGCTACTTCAAGGACTGCGACCAGAAGTTCACCACCTGCTCGGACGATAACAAATGCCTTTGCATCCCAGGCTTTGTGTACATGGCCGGTCAGGGTGGGTATGGTGGATGCCAGCGAAACCCTTCCCTTTTCCCACCGAACATCCAATGGTCGGCTGCAGACGACGCCCATCGATGGGAGCAATCGCATCCTCCACCGCAGCCTAATGTGCAGCCCGTCCCGGCTCCACCGCCTACAGTCGCAGCCGAAGCATCTTGTGCACGCCACAGTCAGTGCGCAGGTTTGGCCGGCAATTGCTGCCCCAATGATTTGGGTTTGAGCCTCTCCTGCTGTCGTTGAGTCTTTCCGAGGAAGTACATCTTTCTACGTGCGACTAACGCACTTCCTGCACATAGCTCCAGCCGAAGGGTTGGGCAGATAGACTCTCAGAGAACACGGCTTGGAAAGAAAAGCTTCTCAAGCCCAAGCGTGCTCTGACATTCGGCGAGTCCCTGCTGCCACCCTGCATTGACTTTCAGCCGTTTCTGTTGCCAATCTGGCGAGGTTTGGCAGAGGCTAGCTGCCATGGGGCACATGAACGGTTCCTTGGCAGCACCAAAGTGAAGTCTGGCATAAGTAGACTGACTACATGAAGGCGAACAAGAACAAATTAGATCAGAGCTTGATGAGTGCCTCTGTCTGTTCGCAAGTTGGCCCCGTCGCTTGCAGGAACCTATGCCAAGCTGAGGCTTTTGGTGTGCTGCGCAGCCTGACATGCTTGAACAGACTCTTTCAGTAGCACGCGAGTCATCGAGACGAGATGCGCGCGTGCAAATGTAGGCGATGCTGGGATGATGTGTGCATTTGACGGTCTGAAGTGGTTCGACAGCCGCCCTTGTTGCTGCTATCGCGGGCATGTGCGTGTGGTCATGTATCGCTGCGCAGTCCTACGTCAGCGTGCAATACACGCACCCGCAGCTTGGTGCCGGCCTTAGTGCAACCGTACACTTGTGTAGCACCCTGCCGTGCGAAGCAGCGAATTGAAACCTGGTGTTGGTGCTATCGGGTTTTAAGTTGCGGCCTTTCAGGTGCATTTGCTGCGAGTTTGCGTTGCGCTTAGGGTTTCTTTGTCTCTGAATCAGGGAAGCTCACCTACGAGGGCACCCTGCAGGAGAAGTTTATCGGTGCCTCCACCAGCCAGTGGGACGCTGATTGCACCAAGCTTTGACTTTTCCTTTTTGGCTTCTTTTGAACGTCTGAGGTCGTATATTCAGCTGACTCAGTGTCGGTGCTTCAAATCTGGGCGACTCCAAGGACAGGAGGTCGGCAGAAGGGTCAGAAAGCAAGGCTTCTTTGGCAGAATCTATGTGTGGTGCCCGCTGATCTCTCCGTACACCGGTGGCTCGAGAAGGTGGGTAAAGGCTGCTGAACACCGGCAGTCTTCGCTGAGAGTGCTAGTAGGGAGGAGCTTGAAACTTGAGGTTTGTCTTCGCATAACGTAGTTCTAGAGCTCCTGCATGACCTTAACGCCTTCTGAAGAACCGGACCGTTTCGGCTTTCGCATGCCATGCGGACAACGGCGCGCCGGCGGACGGCCCCGGATCTCGACTTGGAAAAGGTGCAGCTGCCAAATCTGCTGCCCAGCCGCGGAGGTGAAAGCCTGGTGAAGTACGCAAGTATGTGCAGTTGATTGCAATTGCTTGCGTGGTGTGATGGCAGGAAGCTTCGTGCCGCAGCTCAGCGCGAGGATCAACCTGTGCGCTGGCAAACGCTTTTGTTTCTGATGGAGCTGCGGTGTTGCTCCCTGTCCCCGTGCGCCAGGAGGCACTCAGGAGGTCCGGGTGCTGCAAGTGCTCCAGCCACGCGATCATTCGGCCACTAAGACGTGCTGTAGAAGTCGAGGGACTTTCTTCGTGAAGCCGTGCCCGAGTCTGCGAGTCGAAGACTGCTGGAGGACCTTCGTTGACGCCTGCCACACCTTCAAAAACCACAAGCCTGACGCCACAATCTGGAGGCCATTTTCCACAGAAGCTGTTCTGCACACGTGCGGGATGATGAACTTCACGTTATGGTGTGCAGGCTATGCACTTGCAGAGACACGAAATCTCCGACGTTTGAGCAAACAGCGAGGCAGCTCGAGCTTTGATCTTTTTGGCACTTTCTGTGGACTCGTTGGCAGCTTCCCGAATTGCAAGGGCTGGTGCAACGAGACGAGGAGGCTCAGGACGAGGAGATACCCAGTTTGGAGGCCGGGCTTCGGGAGAGTCTCTTCGTGACAGCAGCTTGCGGCCTCCGTGGCGGTCTGGTGGTAGGAGCTGGAACGTGACCTCCAAGGCTGGAATGGCCAATGGAAGAAGAAGAAGGCGCCGGAGAGCAGTGCAGCGGTGCAGAGCGGTATATCATCTTTGTACTTGTGCGGAGGCGGCAGTGCTGATTCTCGAGCGCCTCCGCCTAGATCAGGAGGCCGAGGACCGGAGGAGGCCGGATCTCGCATCTCGGACAAGATGACAACTAGAATCTGAAGCTTTCAGGGAAGAGCTGGAGGAGAGGCGTCGTAAACAGGAGGACGCCCGCCTCAAGCTCTTGTTTGACGGTTCACTCCAAGAGATTCCAAGAGGAGAAGCGAGAGCAGATGCGCCGGATAATGGAGCAGGAGCAGCGGGAACTGCAGGCGGGGCTGCCAGTTAGCTTAGACGATTTTTCTCATGGGCACTTGCTAGAGTTTGCTACTTATATATCCGCACCAGAGGAAGAGATCAAACGCCACGAAGCGCGTGTGAAGTCTTTGAATGCAGCACCTCGGCAGATGTGTGACAAAGGGGGTGCACCTCTGCGATCCGAATGCTGCTGAGATGCTGTGAGGCGAAAGCTTGGCAGAACTTCGCCCATCGGATCGTTGCCTTGCAGGAGAGCTCTTCCAACAATTCAAGTTCAAGCTCCTTGGTTCTCAGGGTGGTGAAGCCTTGGCACACTTGGACCAAGACTTTTACTTGCAGACCACGCAGGAGAAGCTCATCGAGGAGTTGAAGCAGCCATGGACCTGTCCTACCTGCTCTGGCTCGGGATTGTGCAACAGGCAGCTTCGCTGTCGCTACCCTTTTGCCTCCGTTGCGTCACAAGACCATCACCTGAGCATATAATCTTTCTTGGCATCCTGCCTGCAGGTGCAAGGGTGAGGGGACCCTTTCCGTCACGTACCTGTCGTCCAACGTGCTGTCGCTGAGATGGATGTCTTGAAGGGACTAGCATGGGGTAGCAGTGTGATGCAGCATTGCTGCGGTTTATTGTCGGAAAGACTTGAGGTGCAAGCTCGCAATGCAGATGCATTCCGTGGGCGCTGCGTCTATGGTTGTCATGCTTGCGGAGGCTCCCGCTTTCTCCAGGTCCAGGGTGACGCTGGGAGAGTTTCAGAGGTTTGCTCGCGTGGTTGTGTTCTGCATGGGGTAGCAAGGCATTCGTGATGGCCGTGATGTCTATGGTGCCTTGGCTGCCCTTTCTGCAGCAGTGGTGTTGAAGAAATGGGCTCAGCCTCGGAAACGAAGCTTCCGACGTCAGTGGCCTGAGGCTACGAGACAGCAGAGCTAGGCCAGGACTGCTGCAGAACCTGTCTCAGTCGGAGTCCTTGGGCTTCGAGGCTCTGGACTGTGTTTGAAGTGTGCTGGGCAAGGGTACCGGTCTCAGTATGGCAGCGCATCCGTCTCGAAACACAGGGCATACGGCCGAGTTTCTGAGTGTGGAAAGGGAGGACGTGTGTGTGGCCCCCAACCTTGCAGGCAAATCTGGCCCTCCCTACGAGAGGTACTGGCTCAGATGGAGGAGCTGCTTAGGGTCAAGGCTTTGATGGAGCATGCTGGAGCTGCCTTGCGGGGCTTCCGACTGTGTTTCAGGAGCGCAGGAAGGCAGTGTCTGCCGATGAGCCGCTGTCTCCACGGTAGCGGAAGGTTTCTTTGTGGCTGGGCTGTTTTATTTGTGGAAGGGATGTAAAACTTGCGAGGGGCTTGCTGAGTCCGGATGTGGTTCGATGAGCAGCTTGGGCATCTTTTGACGAAGTCATGGAGACACATCCGTACTGAGTGCATGACTTGCAAGGTCTGCATGTCTGAAGCATGTCTGCAGCAGCATTGAATGCTCTTCTGCTGAGCACAGTGCGCACTGGACAACAGCAGTGAAAAGAGTCACGGGTTTCTTTTCGAGGTGTGCTCAGACGACCTTCCGTTTTCGGAATCTGAAGCTTCTATCTGAGGTCAGACGTGGTGGTCGTCAGACCAAGAGTGAACAAATTCTTTCACTGCCTCTTATCCCACAAAGTTGGAGATCCCTGTAAGTTACAGTCGCCCTGGTCCTAGCTTCCGGTTCGGCAGGGCGTGAGACTCGGCAAAGCATGACCACGATATCAACAGACTTCAGCGAATTGCTGACAGTCGCTTTTGAATGATCGTGAGATGCTGCAAGCCGAAGATGTCCAAAAACGCGATTATTTCAGAAGATCAGTCACCGGTGTAGCTTTATAGGAATTCCACCACCATTTGCCAGGCAGCAAAGCGACTTATGACGGGCTTTGTGGACGTGCTGCGCCCAGCTTTTGGGGCTCCCGCCACGAGCGAAGCGTCGGAGGGCGCCGAGGGCGCCCAGCTCCGCTGAGGCCATCGAGCTCGCGGAGCCTCGCGAAGACCGGGGAAGCCGGAGCGACTCGGCGAAAGAAAGGCTTAAGCTGTACTTGTAGCTTCTGGCGCGGAGCGGAGTAAGGCAGACGTCTCATGACAGAAGCCTTGGCCGGAGTGGCGCAGGTCGAAGTCGCAGCCGAAGTGGCGACAAGCCCGTGCCTCGCGAGACCACAAGGCTTGAGGCTGCGAATCGAAGCCAACCGGCATCGATATCCACGGGTATATGAAGCAGCTGATGACTAGGAGTACTTGTAGTTGCTCTGTCGGTGCGTGGTCTTGCTCCTGCGACTCCCCAGGCCACGGCCCGCCAGCCCGGTGAGATCCTGACGAAGCGAGGCCTCCGGAAACCTGTGCAGTGCCGGACCACGGAAAGTTCTACTAGTTACTAGTGAAGTTTCATGAATTCGGGTTGCATAAGATGCTTCCCAACCTGCGGTACAGGTTTCACCTGCGTTTTCAAGGTCCCTGCGCCAGCGCCTGAGCACCTCGACGAAACCAGAAGTCAACTCAACCACTTTCAGCGGCTGCAATTCCCGACCTGCGTTGGTATGTGAATCTTCAACCAAAGCAGCTTCGTCTACACATCGCTCATTTCGGGCAAAGAATCCATAGATGGATGCAGCTCATGTGGCACGCACCTAATTAATCAATTGATGCTCCACGTCCCCAAGCATGGAGCAGAAATCTAGCAACAGTGGGAGTGGTCAGGGAAACTACAAGTGTGGAGGGGGCAGCCTGTCAAACCGACCGCAGAAGGCAGAACTGAAGAAAAACAACAGCCACTCCGCGAGACACCAGAAAACCACTACGTCAGGCGAGCTGATTGGAAAAGTGGAGGCACCAGGAGCTACAACGAAAGCCTTGCACAAGAACCTCCAGGATGGAAGGATGTTTTGCTCCAACCGTGTCCCCAAACAGAGTCTGACCAGCCCGTCCGGATACATGGGAAGTAGGCTCGCTTGTCCCAGAGCTGGCACTGTATGACATGTGCCAGCACATGTTTCCACCCTCACACTCCGTGCATCCATGGTGGTACCAATAGCCGGCACGAAGCGTGCTCACCAACAGGTTTGCAACAGCAGTCCTGCGAGCTGCAATCGTCCTGCATCCGGCCGCAAAGGCGTCTCAAAGTGTCGTGCATAAGTATCACGAAAGTGAGCTCGAGATCGGCCATCACATGCAGTGGTAGGGAACATGTTTACCAACGGCAGGTCGCGCCGCTCCAAATATAGTAAACGCATCATTATCGCCAAGAGCATTTTGTCCGAAAGTAGTTGCCCTTCTGGCAGAATTCCGTGTACGAGACAGAATGGCTCCCAGCAATTCGTCCCGCGGTCACCATCTTCCGCGCGAGTACACTGGCATTGCCGTCGCAACAGTTGCAGCACGGTTCCACACCCCAACAAAAGGGTCACGAAACGTGGCCAAAGACTCCGGTTTCAACTGCTCCGAATGGCGACCCGCAACAATGTCATCGACTATACCTTGCTTGCCAAGTCCTCCTTTTCAGATCTCCGGGCAACCACGTTGGCACCAGGGCGTATTTCAAGCTACTTCTGCAGAACACCGAGAGAGACGGCACCATGAGACAGCAAGCGAGGCACTGTGTCGCAGACGTGTCCACTGAGGATTGTCTTTGTGCGCATGCTTTGGTCATCATCGGGATGCTCGCGAAGCTCATGACATTCCGCGTTTCCATGGGGAAAACAGACGCGAAGCTGCGTGCTTCGCTATCCGTGCTGCGGTGTTCGAGCCTTTGTCGTATACATACCTACATGAATGCATACGTACATATATATGTACGTACATATGTGCAGGCGTACATACAAAATCTAACCGCGGAACATAATTATAGAAACGTGATTGTGTGCATGGCCCCTGTATGTAGGTCGGGTCGGGATGTAGGCACGCGCCCACCTCTCCCGTTTTGGTGGTAGTTTGCCGGCCTTGCGTCCGCAAGAGTATGTAGTTAGAAGTGCTTGTTTACGTAGGTATCTTCATACCGAGGTACCGTAGGATACCCCTCGTCTGGGCTTGTCAGGCATTATGCGTTCGTTCCTATAGATGCGCGTGCATGTGCCAATCGTCAGTCGTTCCAGCTCAGGTGACCTGGTCGCAGACTCTCCGCGGTTTGCCGGGCGGCGGCAGCAAAAGAGGGGTGTTGGGGCGAGTTTGACCGCGTTCGGTTCTGGTTTGTGGTTGAGCTCGTGAGCCAGCCAGTGAATTTCGTGACGAATCTGGAGAGATACGGGTTTGCCCAAGCTATGGAAAGTGCTTCGATAAGCCAGCAGCTGCTGCAAGAAAGGGACGGCGTATCAGATTATCAGGATGAACGTGTGACTGCGGTGCATGCCGCAGCTGTGCAGGTGGCTCCGGTAAGTTTGCATGAACCACTGCCGCCATGCAGCGCTTCCTCCTTGCCCTTCTGATATTTTGGGCAGCTGGGCGCAGAGTTTCACATTTTCGTCTCTTCGTGGGTGACAAAAACGTCTTCTGCATTCCCTGCATCGTAGTGTTTCGAACGTTTGCTGCTTGGCTAGTCTGTCGTTTTATGTGGCGAATTCTTTTCGACCTTCCTGTTACTGTTCGTCCTGCAGAGTCTTTCCTGTTGCCTTGGGTGTGCAATGCCTCTTCCCCACCAGTCTGTTTGTGCATTCTTTCGCTCAAGGTCTTCGTTCGCTTGTTATTGGTTGGTGTACTCGAGTGCAGGCTTGCCGGCCTTGTTGCCATTTACCCTTTCGTTGGTCACATTCCATAGGCCATAAGCATGTTCATGCATGCACGCATGGCCCATGAAGTCTTGCATTCATTCACTCAAGTGTCGGCTGATATGCATTGCGAAGGTTTTATTGATGGTGTTCGCATTCGTTGCGATTCTTGTGGTTGGCGTCACTCAAGGGTGTGGTGTGGCAGTGTCCCAGCTAATTTTGTTGTTGTTGTTGATGCTGGTGGCGGTGGTGTTGGTTGTGGTGTCGTTGCTGTAGCAGTAGCTGTGGCAGGAGTAGTGGTGGAAGCAGTAGTCGTAGCAGGCGCCGTAGCAGTAGCAGTAGCAGTAGCAGTAGCAGTAGCAGTAGTAGTAGTAGCAGCAGCAGTAGTGGTAGTGGTAGTGGCAGTGGTAGTATTAGTCGTAGTAGTAGCAGTAGTAGTAGAAGGAGTAGTAGTAGTAGTAGTTGTTGTTGTAGTTGTAGTGGTAGTAGTGGTAGTAGTAGTGGTAGTAGTAGTAGTAGTAGTAGTAGTAGTAGTGGTAGTAGTAGTAGTAGTCGCAGCAGTAGTCGTAGAAGTCGAAGTAATCGTGGGAGGTCGTCGTGATGGTGGTGTTCGTGGCAGCCAAAGTGGTAGTGTCGTAGCGGCAGTGGCAGGGTAGTGTTGGTGGGTGGTGGTGGTGGTGGTGGTGGTGGTGGTGGTGGTGGTGGCAGCAGCAGCAGCAGCAGCAGTACAAGCAAGTAGCAATAGCAATGGTGGGAAATGTGCAGTTGCTGTCGTCGGGGCTGGACTCCTGATACCTCAAACGCATGTCGCTGTACCCTAGGGGGCGTTGCTCCCTGCGAGTCCAAGTGGGCTTCCTGGCCGCTTGTCCGCGATACCGCCTTCGAGAGGCTCAGGGGTCAAGGTCCCGGGAGTCAGCTGGACTTTGTTGAGGCTGATCGCATCAGAGCTTGGTTCTACAACGCCAGCTCAGGATCACCTGAAGCTGCTCAGACTGGCCTCAAGGCCGGCTTCGGATGGATCTCGTCTCACACACTTCGGTGTTCAACACTTCCAGCGTTATTCCGACCGTTCCTTCCGGGAGGTGAAGACGCCTTCTCGAAGGATGGCCAAGGAGGCGGGAAAGATGGGAGCAACACGAACAGTAGGTAGAGCCTCAATCTCCCAACGGTCCCAACAGTCTTTGTAAACGTGCAGAGCACGTCTCGGCGAAGTAGATGCGGCCATCAGCCAGGAGTCCGACAAGGCCGAGGTTACCGAAGAAGCAGAAGAGGACAGGGCTGGGGGACTTAGCCATGCCTCGCTGCCTTTCACTTCTCAATCCTGGGGTGAAGAATTTCCAGCCTCCTGTGGTGATGGTGTCTCGGTGTGGTTTTGCAGGAAGCTCCTGCTGCGGCAGCCGAGGCCACACGGTACTGTGAACATGGAGGGCAGGTTTTTTGCTTGTACTTTGTTTTTTCCTGGCGCGGCGGGTCTGGGCCGAAAGAAAGAAAAACGAAAGAACGCAACAGACATAGGAAGGAAGAAAGAAGGAAAGAAAGACACAGAGCCACAACAAAAATCACCAAGAGACATAAAGAAAGACAAAATATAGATATAGATAAGTAAAGAGCGAACAGTAAAGAAAGAAGCTCATATATCTATGTACTTATATATACGTATATAATTCATTTACATGTACAGAAAGAGATACGTATCTATATCTATAACTTTTCGGTACACATATGTTCAGGCATCATGAATATGCACGCATATATGCCCATCCATATATACACATATATTTATGGGTACTACCAGCCCGTTCCAAAACCTACCTCGAAGCTTGTTTTCCTTCGACCTCATCAGAATCCATGTAATAATCCTTAGATCTGTACATGACGAAAAGCGTGCACCGCAGCACAGGGAGACACGCGCAGCGAGCATCCCAAGTAAATAGTATTTCACGCGGAGCAGATTTGCGCCATGTGCTGCAAATCATAGGACGTGGGGAGTTGACAAAGGCAGGAAACAAGGAACTACGGCAAAACGATCAAACATAAAAAGTGCTTCAATCTGTGCAAATGAATCCATGCTACTGCGACGGCAGTGTAGATCTGCATATGTACGGTACTTACTGTGCAAGAACATCGCAAGATCATAGGGGAGCTGTGCGACTGACTTGTGCCATGTTGACCTTTGAGCACAAGGTGACCTTGTCGAGTCCGAGTGACAACAATGTGGTCAGGGTCATGGGATCCATGGGGTTTGGGGTATTTTGCGCATTTTTAAGTTAGTCTTGCAATTTGTTGCGACCAGGAAGAGCTTGGCAGTGAAGCCGCTGCAGAGGTTGGGCAGAGGGTTCCTTCTTCCTCTGGTAGAACGGTTTTGAAGGGTTCGTCGGCCCCAGGGCTAGAGAACCCCGCTCCTCTGAGGGATTACAGGAGTACTTACGGACACAAAGAGTGCCACGTGACGGTATCGCACGGTTCATAGAGCCGGGCAGGCGACAGAAGCAGCCGGAGAAGCAGCAGGAGAAGCCGAAGGGGAAGCCGAAGGGGAAGCCGAAGGGGAAGCCGAGGGGGAAGAAGAAGAGGAGGAGTACGAGTTTAACGAAACGGATATTGAGGCCGGAGTGGGTTTCCGACTGCGAACATTGACGTGAAAGGGGTTCTGTCCCAGGCCCATTCAGGTCGGCACGAGTAGGTATTTACCAGGCTTGGCAGGACCTAAGAAATTAGCTGAGCATTTCGAACATGTTTGTGTGCAAGGTTGCCCATATGCTACTGGGAGCGGTGATCTTCGTTGTGTCGCTTTTTTACTTGGCATCTCGGCAAGAGCTTCGTACACTGAGAATGGGTGGTTCCGTTCCACGGCTGAAAGGTGAATTGGAATGACGATGACATTCGCTTTTATGCAATGAACATCATCAGCAGCTCGGGTTGCAGTGCAGACGAGGATGCGGGTTTGTGAGTGGTGCCTAGCTTGTTGCTGCCTCCTGCTGCTGCCAGCATGTGAGAAGCATTTCGAGGCATGACAATGTCGATTTTCTCGGCCGTCGCGGCCCTAGACCTTATGCATTCGCATGTGGGGACTGCTGGTAGGTTGCTAATCTCCGCACTGAGCTCCAACCGTCTGAGGTCCTCATGTTCCAAGGCATCAACGAGCAGATTCGGCGCTTCTCAGAGAATCTGACCCACGCACACAGGAGACAGCCTTCTGTATCAGCATCTGTTTTGTAGCAGGGCCTGATGAGGGCCGGAATGACCAAGACTGCAGCGGGGTGAGTGTTCTTTCGCAGAGTAGCATGGCCAGACAGTCTCTGTATGTGCATGCTTCTCCGCTCGCAGGGTTCTCATCCAATTTCTGCACAGCTTTGTCTATTTGATCGTGACTTGGCCAACAATGAACAATCCGGCCACTCGTTGCAACAGCTTTGTCGTGCAGAGTATGTCTCTGCGAGGCGATGCAGCTGGTGATCGGCAGCATCTCTGGTGTGCCACTGGACATGGCAGGGTGGATCCTCGTAAAGGTTCATGTCGGCTTATCACTTATCACTTCCAGAACCCTCCCCTTTACAGTGCATTCGGCACGGGGCGAGCACTCAAGACAAGTGACCAGAGGACAAACCGACAGGCACCCGAACTGCAAACCTGAAACCTGGCCACACTGTTTGCACATGGCCGCGTTGGTTGTGGACGTGACGTGGATGAGGTCATGCTAGCGGTGCGGTTAATGCTCTTGAAATTTTGAAGAAAGCGATCTCTCCCCTCGCCATCTCAAATCTGCCATAGGAAGGCCCAAGCACTTCAGGCACTGTCAGGCTCCGGCTTGGCCATGTCAGTCTCCCACAGCCCGACCGAGGCTTCCAATGTTAGCGGAAAAGGAAGAACCAGGTCACGGTGGTTTCGATGAGGAGAAATGGACGATTGCGGACGGGTTGAGGCCTGCTCTGGGGAAAGCGAAGTTCGATTTTTTTTGGGTCATCTGTGTTTCACGGAGAGGTCCGACTACTGCGCTGTCCTGGAAAAGGAGCAGGCTCGGTCCTTCTTCAAGCGGCGGTCTCACTGAGTGCCAAGAACTGATTTGTTTAGGCAGAGTACGTGCGAAACAAGAATGGCAAGAAGAGCGCACCTCGACTCCTCAATTTCAGAATGCCTTTGCCCGCGGTGGTTTCGTTGCTGCGAAGAAGCAAGGTGTGGATTGACGAATTCGGAGTGGAGGTTCCCGTTCCTCGGCGCAGAAAGTGCTAATTAGTGTAGTGGCTATTGCCACAACAAAACACCAGTTGTCAAAGTCTCAAGCATCTTTGATGGCGGATGGTACCCAAGGCCTGGGTGTGGGCAGGGTGGGCAAAGACCAAGAGAAACACACCACCACCACCGCCGCCGCCGCCCCCACCACCACCACCACCACCACCACCACCACCACCACCACCACCACCACCACCACCACCACCACCACCACCACCACCACCACCACAACCACCATCACCGCTACCGACCACTACCGATCATTGTTCTGACGGTCAGTGATCAACCAAAATGACAAATAGTCAGTTTGATCAGAGTATTTGAAGCAGACATGCTTGCCAACGTCATCAGGTCCAAGACAAGAAAGGATACACTTTAGAGTAGTGGTGGCAAGTTCTCCTTGCCGGCCGACCCGGCTGAGCCTCGGAGTGCCGGCGCAAAAAGACTACTAGCTCCAGCCACTTACAACCATACTCGTTGCACCCGACATTCGTCTGATTGTCATGACAAGCAGAAAGAGCTTTTTCTTTTTTGTTGTTTTCGACTGCCTTTGCAATTCTCGATGGTTGCCGCGCCTTGCAAGGTGGCTAAGCAGAGGCACAAGCTTGAGATCGCCAAACGGCGAATGAGGCCTCACATGGCTCTGGGTGTCTGGATTTTTTGTGCAGATGTGCACATCAAGGTCGAGATCTTTCCGAAGGGGACCTGCAGCCACTGTTGAGACCTACTGCTGGTTCGTTGAATGTGTAGTGCGTGGTTTGCGGCGGTCGTCGCAGTTCTTGCCTATGTTCCTGTCAGTGTTCAGTGTTCCTGCCGGGGTGTTGTTGTTTATAGCTTTTGCCTTCGGACAGTGTGATGGCGGTGGCCCCACCCAGCCGTTGTCATCTTTGTCATTGTCGCCGTTGTCAAGTGCGATCAGAGGTGCTGGGCGATGCTGCTGGCCCACATGCCCTTTGACTGCGTTAGCTTTGTGAGCAAGGAGGCGAAGAGGGAGGTGCGGGAAGAATGCGATGCGGAATCCAAAGAACGTAAAAAAGCATTGGCGTCCAGCCTCAGAGCCTCAGCACACCTCTTCGTTTGAGTTTACGGTTATTGGTTCGAGATAGCAGGCGGAGCCGTTGGAGGGGTTCGGAGAGAGTCCGGAAACTAAGGATGAGAGTTGGAGCGAGGGAGCAAGAGACGCGAAGTTCAGGTCCGGTTTTGCCGCAATCAACTCGGGAGCTCAGCTGCAGGAGGTCGAGGCGGGGGCAAAAGAGCGCCCAGAGCATCTTGTGATGCTTTTGCCCCATGTTGAGACCTTTTGTGCGTTGGAGCCTCTGGATTGTGCATCCCCGTGCAACTTGGTTTGCAGGGGTAGGTTCGACCTTCCGACAAAAAGGCATGACATTTCCATCCGAGGGCTTGTGCACCGGGCCAGCTTCTTGTGTTGGACCTCCACACAGGCGTTCGGGGTCAGCATGAGAATCGGGAAGGTACAGGCACTTAGAAGCCGCACGGGATTGGCCAGGGCTTCTCCTTGGTTTGCGTATTTTTCCTACGATGGTTTTGTTGCGTACGCACTGGAGCTTTGAGCCGGCTGCAGGTCTTCCGTGCAACGCCCTTGATGGCAGTCCTTCCGGAACGAGCCTCAGACGGGGTTACGAATTTGCACGAGTTGATCCTCATTGTCCTCATTCTGCTCAGGGAATCATCATGTTCTTCATCCTGCAGGCTTTGCTCTTTGCAGCTTTTCACATTTTGGTGCTCACTTCCTTTGCCTTTGAGCCTACGTCTCAGCACATCTGTCACGCTGATCGAACACATACCGTGGCAAGTGGCCGGCCAGGTTGCATGTCCAGTCGCGTGCGCCGAATGCGCCTAAACTAGTGCTGGGTCGCTTTTGCTGCGCAGGTCGTGTTCTTTTTGGCCCGTGTCTTCCGCCAGAAAGCCATGGACAGAAGCAGCTTGGCATGTTAATCTCTCGGCTTCCTGGGATGGAACCTCTAAAGACTCTGGGGCTCAATGTAGCCTCCGGTAGATCTGCTCCCAGTTTCAAGTCGGGACCCTGCCAGCCCCGCCTGGCTGTGCCTAAGGTGACAAGCTTCGTGTCGGTCTCTGTAACGAGACGGTACCTGATCCGCAGCAATTGAAGACTAAACTGCTGTTTCCGCTCTTTTTTTCCGCTGCGCTGCTGTGTGGACTCCATGCTGAGGTCGTAGAGGCAGAAAATGACGTGTGCGGAGCCTCGGTTCCGCCTACGACGTCAGATGCAACATGCTAAAATGCCTTTAAACCGCGAGGTCCTCGCTGTCACTGTCCTTCTTGGTGGTGCAGGTGCTCTTCTCAACTGCTTGAAGAGTTTTTGGGGGCCTGTTATTTCGACAGCTTGGAACTGCAGGCTCTGCGTTTTGCAGTGGGCGGCGTCTTGCCCAACGCCGAGGGCGAGGAGGCGGCTGTCATGTTGACTAAACTTGTCCCAGAATGGAGCGGATCAGTTCATCCCGCCCACAGGGATTTTCCTTGATTTGCAGACTGTGCGGACTCTTGTTTTTAAAATGCTGAGTCGTCAGGTTCCTCTCGTGACGCACGGCTGGAAAGAGATCGGAATTCTCTTTGTCGGAAGCTGAGATCGCTCTGGGTGCCCTGCCTTTGCGCCAAGCCGGGCACACGACTCAGGCACTGGCTTTCTTTCTTTGTTTCAGTGCCATTGCCGTGGCCCCGACGACTTGACTATCGGGACATAGTAGGGCTTAGTAGCATGTTCGCATCAGCTCCACGGGCTCAAGGAAGAGAAAGCTCGTTTCTGTCTCAAGCGCCGCCAAAGGTGCTCTCGCTGAAACTGATGAAGGGAGAGACCAGCGAGGACTGCTGCTTTGGCTTGTTGGGATGGAGCACTTGCAGCTCTACGAATACTCGCACTTGCGAAGAACTCCCATCCGGAGTCGCATTAACGGCTTGGACTGCTCCAATCCTGGGTGAAGCGTAAAACCAGGCAGGCTTTCACTTCCAGCCGCGGCATGCTCTTCATCCAGTACTCGTAGGTCTGTCACGGAGAGACTTCCGACGGCAAAAGTCAGGAACAGCAATTTTCAAGCGGTTGCCAGCTATAGAGTAGCAAGATGTGAGCAGTTGGGTCAGAGAAGCAAGGCCCAGAAAGAGGCAGAACGGGCGATTGCAAAAGCACAGCGACAGAAGGATCCCAGAGCCAAACAAGCGAACTGGGAAGTAGGCAGAACGGGCTTCAGCCTGAAGGGCATGCGGCTCTTGAAGTCCCGATCCCCATTTCCGCTCCGGAAGGAGGAGAACGAGGAGGAGGAGCCACTAGGTCCTTGGCCTTAGAGTCTTGCTTCGAGACCTTGACTTTGCACCCTTCGGAACTCGCGATGGTGCATCTGTTCTCTAGTCAAAGACGCCCTTCCAACATCATGAAATTGTAGTCTGGCAGTTTTTCCTCTTCCAGACTAGCCTGGTAACAGGACCCTGCCATTGGCATTCTGCTTCAGCAAAGCGCTTGGACTCTGAGGTGATCGTATGGGCCAGATCCTGTGCAACTTCCTCGCGATGTCTTTTGCGTGGCTGGTTCTGTTTGGCTCAAAGCGGGTGCCTCGGAAAGCTCAGCTGTCAAGGCTGAAGTGCAGATCAGGATCGCTATTTTCTTCTGTGCTTTATTGCGTTGCTGCCTGCTTCTGTTTGCACACAGCACTGCACTTTGTTGGAAGATGCGCTCCTGGAAAGGTGGGTGGTGCTCAAAACTGCCGCGGCCTCAGGTCATTGCACTTTACGGATCATTGAGCTTCATTGAAAAGCTAGGGAGGCAGCAGTTGATTTTCATACCTTCGGAAGACCAGACATCGGTAGCCTGGGTCAAGGCCGTGTTCAACTTCGAGACCATGATAGGTCAAGTTGTAATGGCGCCGTTCTCAGGGCCCTCTCGTGTTGTGGCCGGCTTATGCTTGGCAGTGAAGCCAATGACCCCTTAGTAGCTTGGTTCCTGAGGCTCTCGTCCTGTCCATCGTCTGTGGCCTCGCGGTCTTCTTGTCGCTTTGTCTAAGATCGGGAGGATTCACCGTTTTACCGGGTTGTAGCACATCACTCCGTCGCTGTGAAGTGGTTTCGAGACAGTCCTGCTGCATGCCATGTTGTCCGAGCTCTATCAGGGGATTCCATCGGCAAATTTGTACTTTTAGTGCCTGAAGATGCTTCAACTTGTATCAAAGTGCTAGGAATCACGTTGGCTAGTATGCGATCTGTACCGTTGGCGCCGCAGGCTGGATTTCATCGATGACCAAACAAGGGGAAACGGAAGAAACGATGGAGCAAAGGCGATTCGGGTGATCATTCAGGCCGGTGCAAGGGATGGGGGGATGCGAGCACGACCTGCAGTAGAAGACGAAGCCGTGGGAGGCCATCGCCATCCTAATCGGTTTCTCTTGGGAGCACTGCTTTGATGCTGGTGTCCTGGCAGCGACGAAGACCGCTCCGCACAAGAGGCCCGTTGTTGGACCTTGACACCCGGCAAGTGTTCTGCAATTTGCCGGAGCAGAAGAACGCTTGTGTGCAAGCTTGTCGGAGCTCCGTATGCAAGCCATCTCTGTGCTGATGTCCTGGCAGGGCTGCCAAGTTCGTGATGGGCACCTTGGTTGAGTTCGATGTCTTGTGCGTGGGATGCACTTGTTCCAGAAGCCGGACAGGCTGGGGGATAGGGTCGTCCAAGGCCTCGTCGTCTTCTTCTTCCTGGTGCCTGCCTGGCGAAGGACACGGAGATATCAACTTGGTTCTGAGAGTGTTGTGGGTGTCAAGGTCTTGGAATAGATGTCCGAAGAGTCACGAAGCGAAACTGCCAGCATCGGCTGCCCGTTGATTCGACTGTAGCTGCTGTGTAACTGTGTTCGGTGTAGCTGTGTAGCTGTTGAATCTTCGTTGGAACCCTAATTATTTGAGGAATTTATTTTGTTTTTTTTGGTGATTTTTTTTGTTTTTCGCTTTTGCTTATTCGGCTTTTGGGCGTTGGCCTGTTGTTTTCTGCCTTTGCTTTTTACTGGTTTTGCTTTTTGCTTTTGCTTTCTGCTTCTCGGCTTTTGGCTTTCCTTGCTGGTTTGTTGTCGTCTTTTGGCTTCTTGGTTTATGGGATTTCCTTCCTGGTTTGCTGTCTTGTTGGCCTTCTTTGCGTCAACACTAATTGGCTTCCTGGCTTCTCGACCTGGTCTGGCCTCCTGACTTCTTCACAAGAAGGCAAGGACACAAGGAAGGAAGGAAGGAAGGAAAGGAAGCAAGGAAAAAGGATCGAAGGAAGAAAAGAAAGAAACAAAGCAAGAAGGGAGGAAAGGAAGGAATGAAGGAAGCAAGGACGAAAAGAAAGAAGGAAGAAAGGAGGGTCGGTAGTATATTCTGATGCGGCCTCATAGCTCTAGCATTTGATTTATGAGGTACGAAACACAAAGAGCTCCTTTCATGTCCTGTCCGTTATACACGGAGGAAGTCGAATATACGGGCGCATTTATTTTTGAAGCAATACTCCAATAGTTGTTCTTTGCCTCATAAAAAATGGGAAAGCCCCCCTGGAGTTGGAAAGTTCATGTGCATATGCGGGCGCACAAGAAGGCTCGTCTGCAGCAATAAGTAAGAGAGCTCTTGCAACCTTCCAAACATGGAGCAGGACTAATTACGACTGGCTGCATTGATACGTATCAATCACAAGGCAGGGGCTCCTTAACCTTGTAAAACAAAGTAAAATGGCACTTCATGGAGGGCCATGAGTTTTCATTCGGTTAACTCTTATTAATGATGCTGTCCTATACCCCGCAGAAGATGCCGATCGCTATGTCCATGGCTGTTTCTCTAATTGCTGTCATAGAACGTAGCGGAAAAAGTAGCTCTCTTCAATCTTCAAGCGACACTCCCCAGATGTGATCAAGAAACAAAGAGAAGCTTGCTTACTGGTATCTTTTATTAAACGGGCAAGAGGCATAAGACTTGTATCGGTTTCTACACCTCCTTCACATCCTGACAAAGCGATACCGGTCCTTCTGTATGTGACTGTGATTTAAACGCTGTCATAGTTCGTATCACAACATGAAAAAGAGCTCTCTTCAGTCTTCAAAGACTACAGGTGACATCGTAGAATTCTCTTCTGGGTTAGCAGGAATCTTCATGTCTCTTGCTTGATAGGTATGAGGATGTCTCATAGGAAACCGAATAGGAAGTCTCCATTGTTTCTGATGATAGCAAGATGCAAACAGTTTCCCACAGTCTTCAACATGAAATGAATTAAGTTCTAGATAGGCTTGCGCTGCTACAGTGATGGATCTGTAGGCGGTGCAGCTTGCCGAAGAATGGCCAAAACCATTTTCGAGAAAGCTCAGGTACTGGAGCCAGTGCTGCTGGTGCCATAGATCTACCAACCAACGAAAACATATATGAAATAAACTATGCAACGACTAGGCCTTTTTCATACTTACCTAACAAGAGCAATGAAAACCGTTGTTGTTCCAGAAGATTACTTCCAGTCCTTGACAACGGTTGAAAGCACACAATTATCTTGTGATGCAATATATCCTGTCCTGGACATCAGAAAACACTGTGATGCTCAAAAAACTTCCAAAATTTCCAGCCCTGAAACTCACGAAACACTGTATTGTTTTTTTTTGTGATTTTTTTTGTTTTTCGCTTTTGCTTATTCGGCTTTTGGGCGTTGGCCTGTTGTTTTCTGCCTTTGCTTTTTACTGGTTTTGCTTTTTGCTTTTGCTTTCTGCTTCTCGGCTTTTTGGCTTTCCTTGCTGGTTTGTTGTCGTCTTTTGGCTTCTTGGTTTATGGGATTTCCTTCCTGGTTTGCTGTCTTGTTGGCCTTCTTTGCGTCAACACTAATTGGCTTCCTGGCTTCTCGACCTGGCCTGGCCTCCTGACTTCTTCACAAGAAGGCAAGGACACAAGGAAGGAAGGAAGGAAGGAAGGAAAGGAAGCAAGGAAAAAGGATCGAAGGAAGAAAAGAAAGAAACAAAGCAAGAAGGGAGGAAAGGAAGGAATGAAGGAAGCAAGGACGAAAAGAAAGAAGGAAGAAAGGAGGGTCGGTAGTATGTCAGTATATAAATTAAATATAGAGTATATATATATATATATATATATGGTCACCCCCCCCCAAGATCTACATCCGCCTCTTCCACACAATTCCACAGGTTGCTTCTCTACATTGGTCGACTACTCATATATGCCGAAAACACCGTAAATTCCGATACAATTGTGCTTTACTCCATGTGCATGCAAACAGTACTGCTACAAGTCGCGGGTTTGATATGTGTAAAAGTCTGGCGCCGAATCTCGGCAGCAGATTTATGGTAGTTTATATGTTGGAGAAGCTGAAATGCTGGAGGGCGTGCTATTTTTGTTCAGGTAGTACTAAAAAACCTCGTGTTTTTTGCGTTTTATGGTGTGTTATTTAACGACATTCCTCTAATAATAAAAATACTATTGTCTTTCTTACGAGAACGTCTGTGTGCGTGGGCCATCTCTTTCCCGTGCTCGTGAGCGTCCGATTCTGATGCGGCCTCATAGCTCTAGCATTTGATTTATGAGTTACGAAACACAAAGAGCTCCTTTCATGTCCTGTCCGTTATACACGGAGGAAGTCGAATATACGGGCGCATTTATTTTTGAAGCAGTACTCCAATAGTTGTTCTTTGCCTCATAAAAAATGGGAAAGCCCCCCTGGAGTTGGAAAGTTCATGTGCATATGCGGGCGCACAAGAAGGCTCGTCTGCAGCAATAAGTAAGAGAGCTCTTGCAACCTTCCAAACATGGAGCAGGACTAATTACGACTGGCTGCATTGATACGTATCAATCACAAGGCAGGGGCTCCTTAACCTTGTAAAACAAAGTAAAATGGCACTTCATGGAGGGCCATGAGTTTTCATTCGGTTAACTCTTATTAATGATGCTGTCCTATACCCCGCAGAAGATGCCGATCGCTATGTCCATGGCTGTTTCTCTAATTGCTGTCATAGAACGTAGCGGAAAAAGTAGCTCTCTTCAATCTTCAAGCGACACTCCCCAGATGTGATCAAGAAACAAAGAGAAGCTTGCTTACTGGTATCTTTTATTAAACGGGCAAGAGGCATAAGACTTGTATCGGTTTCTACACCTCCCTCACATCCTGACAAAGCGATACCGGTCCTTCTGTATGTGACTGTGGTTTAAACGCTGTCATAGTTCGTATCACAACATGAAAAAGAGCTCTCTTCAGTCTTCAAAGACTACAGGTGACATCGTAGAATTCTCTTCTGGGTTAGCAGGAATCTTCATGTCTCTTGCTTGATAGGTATGAGGATGTCTCATAGGAAACCGAATAGGAAGTCTCCATTGTTTCTGATGATAGCAAGATGCAAACAGTTTCCCACAGTCTTCAACATGAAATGAATTAAGTTCTAGATAGGCTTGCGCTGCTACAGTGATGGATCTGTAGGCGGTGCAGCTTGCCGAAGAATGGCCAAAACCATTTTCGAGAAAGCTCAGGTACTGGAGCCAGTGCTGCTGGTGCCATAGATCTACCAACCAACGAAAACATATATGAAATAAACTATGCAACGACTAGGCCTTTTTCATACTTACCTAACAAGAGCAATGAAAACCGTTGTTGTTCCAGAAGATTACTTCCAGTCCTTGACAACGGTTGAAAGCACACAATTATCTTGTGATGCAATATATCCTGTCCTGGACATCAGAAAACACTGTGATGCTCAAAAAACTTCCAAAATTTCCAGCCCTGAAACTCACGAAACACTGTACTGCTCAAAAAAATCCCAAAATTCTGGCATCTATGGCCAGGCCGGGGGCAGAGTCCTTAAAAGTTTGGAATTTTTTGAGCATAGCAGTGTTTCGTGCGTTGCAAGGGTTGGAAAAGTTGATTTTTTTGAGCATTACATGTTTTGTGCGGTTGAACCGCACCTCGTCCGGGTGGATTTCCATGGCTTCGTGTGCGGCAAGATTTCAATAGGCTTGGAGTCACACTTGATTGTGCACAGGTGCGCACTTATCACATATCGCATGTCCCTCTTCACTAGACCCTCTCATAAACACTCACTGGCTCAAGATTTCGGCTGTGGGAGAACGAGACGGACCAGGCGGTTTGGGTTTTAGGACCAGCATCACCAGGTTTGGGGGCGGACAAGACACGCGCATCATGAGCATCAGCGGTGCTGCTTGGCAGTGCAATAACTGGAGCCGCTACCCCATGACCTCGTTGTTGAGTGGTGCATTAAGCAAATTCATTTCTTTTTGACCATGATCAATCTCAAAGACCATTTCTAACCAGGCGGATGCACATATACATATCTGTCGAAAAGACGCTATTCCTTGTGCGCGCCGGCTCACCTTGCAGGTATCTGACTGGAATTTCAAGTACTTGACCGGAGTAGAGGAGTATAGATGCATACACATATGCACATATACATATCTGTTTTTTTAATCCGCTATTCCTTGTAAGTGCCGGCTCACCTTTCAGGTGTCTGACCGGAGTAGAGGTATATACACGCATACACACAGGCACATCTACATATCTATTCTGTTTGCCGTTATTCCTTGTGTTGCTGCTGCTTTGTGCTTATTGACTTTCCTTATATATTTCTTCCCTTTGTTTCCTCGAGTTCTTGGTTGCTTGCTTGTTTGTTCGTTTGCTTGCGTTTTTGCCTTCTTCTTTTTTGGCGCCCTTGCCTTCTTCTTCCCTTCCTCCCTGCTTTCCTTTCCCCCCATTTCCTCCCTTTCTCTCGCTCTCCCTCTTCCTCTTTCCCTCTCCCTCGCCCTCGCCGCCTCTCCCTCTGCCTCTCCTCTCCCTCCCGCCTCTCCCTCTCCCGTCTCCCCTCTCCCCTCTCCCCTCTCCCCTCTCTCCTCTCCCCTCTCCCCTCTCCCCTCTCCCCTCTCCCCTCTCCCCTCTCCCTCTCTCCCCGTCCTCCCTCCCCCCTCCCTCCCTCCCCTCCCCCCCCCCCCCCCTCCCTCCCTCCCCCTCCCCCCCCTCCCCCCTCCCTCCCTCCCTCCCTGCCCCCCCTTTCCCAAGCAAAAGCTAAAAACAAAAAAAATTTCCCAAATAAAACAAAAAAAATTCTTCAAATAATTCCGGACCCATCTTCGTTAGCCCACATGCCCTGCAGGCACATCCTGACAAAGGTTATGGCGTACGAGGAAATGAAGAAGCAGAGGGCTCATGTCAGCAAGAAAGCGGCCCGCAATTCGAGACATGGCTGCATCTGTATGCATCCATGTGGTGCCCTCATTCCTTCAGCAAATGATGGCAATGTTTCCACACACCTGCCGGGTCCCCTGTTTCTGCTGCCGAGGAAGCGGGAGAAAATCAAGTATGGTCTGCTCGCAGAGGAGGGGCAGGGCTTCAGAAGTGCTCTCAGCACTGGCAAGATCATGGGCACAGCGTTAACTCCCTTTGTCACCCGGACTTCTCATTCCTGCGGACGAAGCCAACCCGTGAAAGCCAACCCTTGAGTTCACCCTTGAGTTTGCAGCTGGATCTCGATCCACTAGCAGCTGTCACTAGCAAGTAGAAGAGGCGGTTCTCCGTCACTGCATGCTCTCGTTCAGCCGGGCAGGTTCTGACCAGGTGACCAGACACTGCTAAAGCTGTCAATGCTGCTCTAGGCTGCTGTTGTCGATTTCGAGTTTGTGTAGGGTCCAATTTTGCCGTGCAGGCTTCCCCTAGCCCGCGTGAGCTTCAAATTACGACAGAAGTGAAGCTGCCGGTTGGTGGTGGTGGCGAGTACCTGACACCACCCAAGAATGAGACAGCCGCTTGACAATCCTTGGAAATCAAACTTTAAAGCATGAAGCCAATGCCGTGCAAGTCTGGTCGTGGTACTTTGAGCTGAGCTGGATGAAGAGGAAGTGCCCATGATTGATTCTTCCTGCCTGTTACCTCTGTGCGAGTTGGAGCATGAGCAGCTCAAGACTTGAGTACGGGCATGTCTTTGCTTTTGGCAAAGCTCCTGTCAGCTGACGCAAGGTGAAAGTCTGGGGGCTGGAAGGCAGCAGCGAATGGGTCTGGGCAATGTATCGAGGAAAAGGTGGGCTTCTGCCGAAATCAGCCGTGGAGCAGAAATGAGGACCGCGAGAGGGCACCAGAAGGGGCTTTTGGGCGAAGTCGACCGAGCTAAGCATCGTTGTCCCATCCGACTAATCAGCATTCTTGTGTAGTGCAAAATGCAGTGTCTTTACTTCTAAGAATCTTCGCGAGGAGGGGCCCGCTGGGAAGTGTTCCCGCTGGTCACAACTCACCTGGTGAGTTGCCCAGCTGGCAAATGGACAGTGGAAGTTTCAAGCTCTGCAATCAGGTTTTGTGCAACACGCTGCAGCAGAACAGGGTAGAGCAGGTCAACATTTTGAATACAATGCCTGCCATGACCAATGCCTCCCCCTGTCACTTGCAAAGGAAGACATCAAGACGCGACGCCTGCCGGCCCTTCACAATGATCCCACTCTTTGAAATTTAGCCATTGAGGAAAATGTTGTAGCGCAGTTCTTTAGACCGACACTTTGTCACAAGCAGTGCAAAAGCACTCGCTTCAGTTTCACACATTCCTTGGCGTGCACCAGTTACGAAGCGGACGGTTGCATGCACTTAGTGGCTAGACATGTTTTGCAGGATTGGCCAGCTCGAACTTAAGACGCTGCCAGACTGTAGTCCCTTCTTTTGTCTATTCCTTGCTATATAAGCTTGTTGTGTGCAAGTAGGAGTAGGCTCACCGGTGATGACTCGTCGAGTTCTAGGTTCCAGGATCTCAGGCTACTGTAAGTTCAACTATAGTCTTCATTCCTGCTAATCGGTTGCTTGTGTTGCTGCTGCTGCTGCCGCTGCCGCTACCGCTACCGCTACTGCTACTGCTAGTGCCACCGCCACCGCCACCGCTGCCGCTGCTACTGCTAGTGCTACTACTACTTCCACTACGTTGAACAATTACTAGTACTAGCATTCGTACCACAACTATTATTATTATTAGTAGTAGTGCTACTACTACTGCTACTACTAACACTATTGCTGCCGCTGCTGCTGCTACTACTGCTGCTGCTTCTACTACCTGCCCCTACTACTCCTACTACTACTACTACTACTACTACTACTACTACTACTACTACTACTACTGCTACTACTGCTACTACCATCGGCGTGCCATGCTAGTGACTACTACTACTACTTTCTACTACCACTACTACTACTACTACTACTACTACTACTACTACTACGACTACTGCCCATGCTCCTTGTTGCGGTAATTATTTTCACAACTGATCACAACTGCTACTGCCGTTGCTTTTGATGTTGCTGCATTGTTTTCTGAGCCACTGGACAACAGCAACATCTAGTGCTACCACCATGTTGGAGACGGCCGTTGTCCGGGGACTAAAGCAGCGAGAACCGCCACATAAATAGAGCACTCGCAGTAAGAATGACTGCAGTTGTAACCCCTCATCTTTTTAACATAATCAGACCGACATTGGAGGTGATAGTGCGCATCAGAAGTAAACACAGTTGTCAGTTTTCAAGTTGGAAAGCTCTAACTCTGTAAGTTTGGAGGACCTCGTGCTAAGGGCGAGTTGGGACAGGGCGAACGTGCCCTTTTGCCACATTCAGCCTAGAGCTGGCCTGCACATTTACGTGTCCTGGATCTGCCAGTGGAGGTAGCTAGAGGTAGATCGGAAGAGGTTTTCAGATGTTCTCATAGTCGAAGCTTGCGTGTGGTCAGTTGCAGCCTTGGCACCACCATTCAGCTAGCGGTATTGTCCCTATTTATGATCTCACTCTTTTCAGTACTCTCATCATCGCCAGCTGTAGCTTTGTCACAATCTGAGCATGACCTTCAGTGCCGTGCTTGAAATGAGTATCATCGGGATCGTCATCAACAGGCATGCTAGCTTTGTTGTGCTGAGTTTCGGTATCGTGGTCGTTGTGTTCGTAGTGAGTGCTTCAGAGAACATTTCCCTGAATGCATGCAATGCCAGATCTGCACTGCTCCGGCCCCGTAAGTTGGGCAAGCACTTCTCAGCAGATCCCGGGTGTCTCCGGATGCTAGAAAGCGTTTGAATGCGAAGCTTTCTCTTCACGATTCAAGCTCACGAGCCGCATGCTGTGGAGGGTTGCGTGTCACATTCGTACTGGCAAAGTTTCCCCCATCTTTATCCTACTAGCTTGCGGGTAGGGGTTGCAAGAGCGTATTCACTTGCAGTTTCTGCCAGAGACGCAACTCAATCGCCGCGGATGCCTGGAGACTCTCTCGGTAAGCTGTGAAGACACATTAACTCATTAACTCTTGACGCTTTATGGCCGCTGCTACATTCCAAGAAAATCATGCAGGGAAGACGTCAGCAGTGTGCAAAGGCATGTGACCGTTCCTCTGCTTGTCATCGACTCATTGTGTTGCCCACCTGGGCATCGTGGGAGACTTGGTGCCCGGATCGAGCTCTTTAGCAGCAGCGGAAGTGAAATGACGTCCGTAACTACCGACAGAGCACCTCAGAATGACAATAGCATCACTATAGGTGTAAAGTGCCTCGCAGAAGCTGGACAGGGTCTCTTCATAGGATAGTTTCCCTGCCATGTCAGAAAGCGAGTCAATCGAGAATTCCACGGATTTCGAACCGGTGCCTCTGCGGCTTGCAGACTTCGCAAGGCATTTGCTCCAGTTGTTCTTTCTTAGTTTGTTTTGTCACTGTTGTGACGCAGCACCGATCTGGAAGCTGGTCGGCACCACTGAGTTCAGTTTTCCCATTCGTCTTGCCTCCCCCCGAGGCTAGCAACGATTCCGACGATGACCTAAAGAAAGTCGGTCTCAATCTGGGAAAGGCATGTCAACAAGTGCGGCTTGACTGCTTCAATCTCAAGTTCTGAGCGTTGCCGGCGTGGCCTTATGACTTAGGGTATCCTGATGCCTTTGTGAGCGTTCCACCCTTCTTGCGGTAAAGTTATGCAGCCGCTGCCGAGCGGTGACACTTGATTCGGCAGTTTTATGTCTCGCCTTGCGACACATGACACAGAACGCACAGCAAAGCTTTGTCCGCGAGCAGCTTGATAGCCTTAGGCTTGCGAAGTGCGTTTTGTTTGGTGTGTGTGTGTGTGCGTGTGTGCGCATGTTCGAGCGGTGTGGTCACGCTTGCACGTGAAGCTTTGCCGGTCAGGCATTGCTTTTGTGCCGTCAGCTGTGAGGTACTGCTCTCGACACCTGCTGGTGCTGTTCGCGCTGGGCACGTTTCAGCAGCTGACGTCAGCTTAGAGCGTTTTGGGCTTCGTGTCGAGGGTTTGCTCTGCTTGTCAGAACCTTCTTAGACTGTTAGACGTGGCTTCCAGGATTGGCCCATGTGTCCCGTACATCATCGGTACGTGGCTTGGTCAGAAAATGGCAGGAAGACACACTTCAACAACAACTCTTGCCACACTGCACTGCTGCAGTACAATGCGGTATCTTCACCAAATTCGGTTCAGCCTCTGGACTGAACATGCTGCTGACTTAGATTCTTCGCCGCGAACTATGGCGGTGGCGACTGTGAGGCAGGGGCGGTGCACAGGTTCAAGGAAGATCTTTCTGGTCGTCTTGTACACCAAGCAGCTGCAGGTGCTGCTGCGGTTTGTGCATCTCGTCACGTTTCGGCAGGTGAACCCATCCTCGGAGCCCTGCCGGCGAGCAGCGACCTTTGCCGCCCTCGTATTTGGCTGGTCAAACGCCGCGGCTTCTTGGCTGTCGTGGGCTTGGCTTTCTGTCCTTAGAGCATTACAACTGCCGCACAAGGCGAACCTGGTGGCTATGCTCTTAGCAGAGCCTTGGTGGCCTTTTAGTGTATGTGCCGAGTTGTTGTCTGTTCAAGGCTTGGATGCTTTGCTAGCGGCATAGAAGCTGCAGACGCGAGCAAGAACCGACAGCAGGAAAGCCCTCTGGTGTCGGAAGCGTGTGATGCCAGCAAGTGGATGTTCTGGGCTGCATTCCTTACTAACCCCTGTCAGTGTTGGTAGCTCCTGGACTGTTCTGGACAGACTCCTTTCAGTTGTTGAGGGATTTTTCCAGGTGTGCCTCGGCTCCTGCAGCGATGTTCTGGGGCGGAGACCTCTGATCCGCGCCTTCGGCGTTGCCACGCTGCTGTGCCTCAATTTCTGAGTGGGTCAGAATTCCATGAAAGTTCTAGGGCCGAGGGGGCCTAAGGGGCCTAGGGTTAAGCCGTGGCACAGAAGAAGCCCACGATTTCGTTGCTATGGCAGCAAATTCTTCGAAGAGACGAGGATGCTGCCATGCCTGGCCTTGGCTTTGCACGTGACAACAGGCTAGCATGGGCAGTCTCTGGACTCGGGCGGTGTTCAGGAAGTTCAGGCCGTTGAGAGCAGGTTCGGAGAACTTAGGATGTTATGGCTAAGTAAGTGATTGACAGGTGATTGATGTTTTATCTCTCGGCCGTTTCAACCGCGAGACCGCCCGAGACTCGCCGCAGGCATGACGCTGTGGATCTTCCTAGTGCTGCAGCCTTTGGTACCAGCCTCAGGGTTGAGCGAAGACTTCCCGCGTCGTTAGGCAACTTTCGTCTGAGAAACTGCGCCGGCCTGGCAGGTTGAGTGCTTCGATATCAATGGCGTGTCTTGGACGACTCAAAAGGGGCGGTGCGCTGCACTCAAAGCGTGGAGCCTTCGGAGTGGAAAGCTCTGAGGTATACTTAGCTGTCATGGCTGATGCCATCGATGACCCACAGGCAGGTCTTGGGAGGTGTAGTCACAAGAACAGACCCCTTGCAGCTTCGGCACGCTCTTCTCGACGCTGGGAGACTTGTGAGTGCTTGCTCCTCCGAGCTTCTCGTTTTGCAGCTTCTGCGCAGCTTGTTGACGTCCTGGCTTCTTTCCTTCTTGGCAGCTCGGCCCTTTTCTGACCTTTGGACGGCTGGCGCTGTCTCATATACGTCTCCTATCTAGGCTTTTGCTGCGTTTGGCTTCTCGGCTCTGCTTGACTTCTGGTAGTTTCCGGGTGCCACGACCGCGACATTGACATCGTTAACTTTTGTGGTTAGAGAATGTTAGAATCGGCCAGAGAATGTCTGAAGAAGCTTCTATGGTCATGCTTAATCCGGTCTCTGTGAAAGGTGTCTAATCTGACGAATTGCCACGGAATAATTTCGTTAGCCACAATGTGGTGTTGCTCTGAACAGGACTCCTTTTCAGCAGCGCTAGCCGCACATCAAAGTTTAAATGCTGGGTGTGTCTTTTCTTTTTGGGGGCGGGGAGGGGGTGGGGTCGAGGTCAGGGGGAGCGGATTGAAAGAAAGGAGGGAAAGAGGTTCCTGGAAGCCTGGAAGCGAAACCTAAGGCGAGTGTGTCATTAAAGCCACTTTCCTCATATAGTTTTGCAGATGCTTTACAGGTTCAACTTTGCAACGTTCTCTTAGCCTTGTCGCTACAATACCGCTCCATCACAGTGCAAACTTGCATCATCATGCAGCCAAGACAGTCGCGGACCTACCTGAATTCCAAGACATCCCCGTGTGTCTGGCGCTGCAGGAGCGCGCCGCAGCTTTCGGGGCCTTCATGGCCGCCTGCATGCTGCTAGTGGGCTTTGTGCCTGGGCGAAGCACAGCAGTAACAATAGTCGTAGTTGCGATGTTAACCTGACAAAAACAATGGGAATAGCATCAATACTATGGGTTATGGGATTTTGACAACTTGGCGAAGACGCTAATGTTGGCGGAGGTGAGGAATGACAGAGGTCTGGTTGCAAGCTGCTGGGCTGTCGGAAAGAGTGCAAGACTCAACTCGGGACACAGCTGTGTGAGAAACAGAGAGGTGGTCCCCTTCGGGTTCATTCTGCCCCCTGCTTGGCTCATTCGGGTGTCGGTCATCGCTGGCACAGCAGCTCCTTCTGCATCCAGTGCTGTTGTGTGCTTGCTTCCGACCTATGCCGGGATACCCATCGTTGCACGGCAAGATCTTTGTGTTTGCACGTGGCTCCTGATTTGAGGTGAAGCTCGTCTATCTATTCCTCGTGTTTCCAGAGAGCGCCAAGCACAAGCCTTTTCAGTCGCATTCAGCTCAATGACCCGCGACGGAGTTGATATCCGTCCATCCCGTCCATCCCGTCCATCCCGTCCATCCCGCCCATCCTTCCATCCGTCCATCCGTCCATCCATCCATCAGTCCGTCTTGATCCAACCTTCGGCTTTGAGGCTCGCGCCTGAAGAGGACCAGTCCCTCGTGTCGGGCAAGTTGAACCCGACGCCAGGCAGAAGCTCACGTGTGGAGGCAGATCGAAGCCCCCGAAACTTGCGAAGAGAAGACACGAAAAGCAGTGGAGATAATTGCTGTGTCTGTGGGGTCTATGTGTGCATGTCATGTACAAAATACTCGGCGACCGGAGGGCGGTGAGAAAGCACGGGAATCATGTCGCTTAGCTATGCTATATATCCCCAGAACGTCGACCAATCGTCGTCAGATCGAAGCATCTGAATATTATATACCTCTGCCTTCCATCTGAGGATTTCCTCGGCATGTTCGGCCTTCTCTCTGCTCAATCGGAACGCAGCTCTTTGAAACACCAGAAAATCTTCATATGCGGTTTCTTGTTGGCAAAGCACTGAGGCCTTCATTGCCCGGCTTGCCATGGTCCTCGTTTGTGCCGGCCTTGCAGCCTCGGGCTATGCCATCGTCATGCCACCGTGCCGTGGCTGGCGTAATTCCTGCAAAGATCCACGGATTCGGACGCGGACAGCTGAGGTTTATGATGGGCTACCTGGGCTATACCAGAAGCAACAAGCTCATACTGGTATGTGCGATGGCCATCTCAGCCTTGGTGCCTTGAATTGAATCCGACAAGTTTTGGGTTTGAGCGCACTTTGCATCCATGGGGGTCTGGAATTCAGGGTTCTACCTTTGCCAAGAGTTGAAGCATGGCACGTCTCCCTCGTTCGTTCCCGGCCAAGATCTCCTTCACTTGCTTGCTGGGACCGGCCGTAAAGAAATGCGGCCAAGTGCGAGTTCTTCAGCATTGCCTCGCCGCTTCTGCGCCTGGATGCACTTTTTCTTCCTGTTTGTACATGCAGCTTCGGCAGACAGCGAACTCAGGTGATTGTGCCATTTCTTGTTGCCTTCTGCCAGGACAAGAAGCTGTGAAGCCTTTCTTGCGAGTCATGAACCGTAGCATGCGCCAGGCGCAAGAAGATCTCAAGCTGATTGTTAAGTCGCGTCAAGCCAGCGTCCGCAGATGCAGTGACGGAGCACCGGGCAGTCACTTTCTTTGGGGCTTGTCCCCGTGGTACTGGGCAGGAGCAATGGCAGCTGGCCCTCATTTCCTTTGTTTTCGTTGGCCCGATTGCTCTGGCTGTACCTTTGGTCCAAGCACTGAGTCTTAGCTGGAGGTTAGTTGTCTAATTTGTGTCGATTCTTTTTAACAGAAATTTGTGCTCGCCGCGTCGAAGGAAGAGCATGTTGGTCTCTCCTGTGGAGCAGGGCCTGGTGCAGGGTGCAGTCGCTTCCATGTCCAAGGCAGGACAGGGACATGCACCCTGGGCTGGAAAGGGTCTTCTGCAGCTTTGTGTTGAAGCGTAATGTGGAGCAGCCCTGTAGTTGGTAGTTGTATAACGTCCTTGTGCTACGATGCATGCACGGTACCACTGTGTCCTGGCTGGCATGAGCTGCAAGTCCAGACGTGTGGTAGCAGGAGCAGCCGTTCTGGCAAAATGGAGGTAGCTGTAGCAGTAGCAGAAGCTGATGGCTGGGGCTTGGTTAGGTGTAAGTCTGCGAAGTTTGACTTTGGCTTTCTTGGCCATGTTGACTACGTCCAGAATTGTGCCTTCTGCTCAGGGTGCGGCCACAATTGGATTTGTGGTCTTCAGCACCATGTTCGCGTTCACCAGTGGCGGCGGCAAGGTGGGTCTTTAGTCAGAGAGCCACCCAACCTCGGCCCAAGCTGACGCACGGGTACTTCCTTTGCCAGACTGCAGGTGGTCCACTGGCCATGTCTTGCCTGTGTAGATCGCAGTTCAACCTCGTCAGGTCGACTCTGTCGGTGCGGTCCTGCCATCCTTTGCACTCATCGCAGCTTGGCCAGCTTGGCCAAACAGTGGCCTCTTATTCTTGAGCCTTTTGCTTCATGCGCAGCCTGTAAGAAAAGCCGAGGCGGGAACCTTTGCCATCTCCGCGATTTTGGCTCACTCCCTAGAACTCAGGGCATCCAAGGCGCCTGCGCGATTTCTGTTTAGCCCTTCCTCTTATGTCCAGGCCAGCACTCTGCCTTCTACGCCTCCGCAGCCGGTCGAAGACGACAAGTTGCTCTTAGACAGCGCAGACAGCGGTCCGCGAGCTGGGCTGGGATGGGCACAATCTTGTGGAGGGTTTGTGATCATGGCTGCGTGCCGAGTTGACCAAGCCGCAGGACCTGACTGTTGAACACAGTCTGGGAAGCGTGACTAGCCGCGATTGCATGTTGTTTTCCTACAGATGCTTGGGCAGACGCGGTGCATCGAAATGACGATTTCTAGCACTAGTGCTGACGCCGAGGACAGAGCATGAAATGAGCACCGGGAGTTGAAGCATACGTATGGTATGTAATCCAAAAGCTTTTAAGTTTTTGTAACTGGATGTTGATGTGCCAGTTGGCAGACCAACGAGTCCTCTGATGCACCACGCCGCCTCAGCACTCTATCTCCTGAGATGAACATCCTAAGGCGCCCCCGGCAGAGCCACTGAACAAAAGTGGCTTCCTGCAAAGGCGTTACAGGTAGGTGCGTTCGGCCCAAGAGCAGGCGCCTCTCCGAGAGAAGTTGCGCTTGCCGAAGCTAGAGTTGCCGGGTTGCCAATGGGCCGACAGAGGGCAGTGAGATGCGTGATTCTGTCGTGCTTGGAAAACAATTGGGACACGCTGGGATGCTTGTGATGACTTGAGGAAGCTTGGAGAGAAGGATGGCAGGAACTCCTTTAGTTTCCTTGCTAAGGTCCTAAACGCCGAACGCTCCATGTTGGCTCAAGGTCTTTTGATTTTGGTCCCGCCTGGGAAAGCGCTATCTCTCCGAAGCTATCCTTCACCAATTTGCGTGTGCGAATGGCTCCGATGTACGTCGTCAAGAGGGATGGGCAGAGTCAAGAAGTGAAGTTTGACGCCATCACTCGGCGCATTCAAACTCTTTGCGATGGCTTGGATTCCCGTTTCGTCGACCCTGTGCCTGTCACCCAAAAAGTGGTCGAAGGTTTCTACAACGGCATCTCCACGTCCGAGGTGGACACCCTGGCAGCCGAGACCTGCGCGTACATGTCGCAAAAGCACCCCGACTTCTCCACCTTGGCGGCACGCATTGCGGTGTCGAACCTGCACAAGAACACATCGAGTTCCTTCTACGAGACGTGCAAGATCCTGCACAGCTACGTGGATAAGCAGGGCAGGCCCGCGGCTCTGCTAGCAGACGACGTCTGGGAGTTCATTTGTGCCAATGCAGAGGCCTTGGACCAAGCCATCGACTACAAGAGAGACCTGGGCTACGACTATTTCGGGTTCAAGACCCTGGAGAAGTCTTACCTCTTGCGCGTGCGCGGGAAGATCGTGGAGAGGCCGCAGCACATGATCATGCGAGCGGCTTGCGGCATCCACCTGGGGGACCTGTCGGCCGCATTGGAGACGTACGACTTGATGTCGCGGAAGTTCTTTACGCATGCGACACCGACCCTCTTCAATGCGGGCACCCCCAAGCCGCAGATGTCATCCTGCTTCCTGCTGAAGATGCAGGAGGACAGCATCGAAGGAATCTACGACACCCTGAGCCCAGATTCGTGTTCGGGATAGCTTTTACTTGATGTGAGCTTGTGGGTACGACATAGCATATGACCCCTTTGCCATTGTTGATAAACGTACTCGTGCTTTCCTGACCAAGCTGGACCCAGGAAGCAGTGCGCCTCCATCTCCAAGTCCGCGGGCGGCATCGGCGTGGCGATCTCGAATGTGCGTGCCGGCGGATCATACATTCGCGGCACCAATGGCCACAGCAACGGCCTCGTGCCCATGCTCCGGAACTTCAACGAGACGGCGAGGTATGTCGATCAGGGTGGAGGAAAGAGGAAGGGCTCGTTTGCTATGTACCTGGAACCTTGGCACGCTGATGTCTTCGACTTCTTGGAGCTGCGGAAGAATCACGGCAAGGAGGAGCAGCGTGCCCGAGATCTCTTCTACGGGCTCTGGATTCCGGATCTCTTCATGACCCGGGTCAAGGACAACCTGGATTGGACTCTCTTCTGCCCAAACGAGGCCTACGACGAGAAGAGTGGCAAGGGACTGATGGATGTATGGGGCGAGGAGTTCGAGGAACTGTACATACGCCTGGAGAGGGAGGGCAAGGGCCGCAAGGTGGTCAAGGCACAGCAGCTTTGGTTCCGCATCCTTGAGTCGCAGATGGAGACCGGCACCCCTTACATGCTGTACAAGGATCACGCGAACCGCAAGTCCAACCAGCAGAACCTCGGCACAATCCACTGCTCCAACCTTTGTACCGAAATCATTGAGTACACTGCGAAGGATGAGGTGGCAGTGTGCAACCTGGCCTCCATCTCCTTGCCTGCCTTTGCCAGCTGTGAGGGGTCCTATGACTTCGAGCAGCTGTACCAGGTAACCAAGGTGGCAACCCGCAACCTGAACAAAGTCATCGACCGGAACTACTATCCGGTGCCGGAGGCCCGAAAGTCCAACCTCCGGCATCGGCCCGTAGGCTTGGGCGTGCAGGGTCTTGCAGATGCATTCCTCATCATGAAGCTGCCTTTCGAGAGCGAGGCGGCGAAGCAACTCAATGAGGACATCTTCGAGACCATTTACTTCGCAGCTTGCGAGGCCTCGTGTGAACTGGCTGAGACGTTCGGCTCCTACGAGACATACGAAGGTAGCCCTGCCAGCAAAGGCCTGCTGCAGTTCGACCTGTGGGATCGCCAGCCGCGCAGTGGGCGCTGGGACTGGACGGGCCTGAAAGCACGGATCGGCCGATACGGGCTCCGGAACTCCTTGCTAGTGGCACCCATGCCCACGGCCAGCACAGCACAGATTTTGGGCAACAACGAGTCCTTCGAGCCTTACACGCAGAACCTCTACGTTCGCCGGGTGCTTTCGGGGGAGTTTGTGCAAGTGAATCGCCACCTGCTCAAAGATCTCATCCAGCGCGGCTTATGGAACGAGGAACTCCGTGTGCAGCTGATCGCGCAGAACGGCAGTGTGCAAAGATTGGACCTGCCACAGGATCTCAAAGAGCTGTACAAGACCGTTTGGGAGATCAGGCAGAAGGTTGTCCTAGACATGGCTGGTGACCGTGGTGTCTACATCGATCAGTCGCAGTCGCTGAACATTCACATGACGGATGTGACCACTGCCAAGCTCTCATCCATGCACTTCCACGGCTGGCAGCTAGGCTTGAAAACAGGCCTTTACTACCTTCGAACGAAGGCAGCTGCTGATGCGATCAAGTTCACTGTGGATGTTAAGAAGCTGACGAAGACGGCCAAGTCTGAGAAGTCCGTGGCCTCTGACTCAGATGCCTCCACGGCTACATCTGCGACGAAAGGCTTGGAGGCCTCCGCGATCGAAGCACTTAAGGCGGAAGGGCCGAAGTACAGCTGCGTAAATTGCAGCGCATGAGATGGCTTTGCACCCAACGGACTCTAATTTGATTGCCGATCCACGGGTCGCTGGGCAGGGTCGGTATCCAGGAACTCGGAATGTTGCAGCACACGTCGGATGGAGCCCTGCGGCCCATGCTTGGATCGCATTAATTCACAGGCACGTTCGGCCCCGGGGTTGGGCCGAACCACGGGGGGCGAAACCAAGGCGCGAACAATGCGAGCACCTCGTTTCTGCAGATCCTCCTGGTTTCACTGGGGACTTCTTCTTAGGAGCAGTGGAAATCTAGGCGACTAGAGTCCACTGAGGGGGGGATGCCTGTGCTCAACCGGTCAGGCATCGCAGAGAATGACATCTGCAGATCCAACTGGTAGACGGCGGGGCAAAAGCAGCTGCTGCATAAGACTGTTCTAGACTCCTAGACGACGTTCTGTTGTGGTCCACCGGTAAGTTTGTTTGTTTGTTCATTTGTTTGTTTGTTTTCTGCGTATTTGGCATCGCTTGTCGAAGTTGCCCGTTGAAGCAGTGTTTGGTGCTTCGGTGTCGGTGCGGTCCGAAACAAGAATCTCCCACCACCGGAACATGTCGAGTCCTGTTTACAGCCTCATCAGCCAAGGGGGCGGGAGCGACTCAAAGTTCATAGTGTAGCAGCACTTGATCCGACACCGAGGTTTTGCCTGGACACGTGAGAACCGGTCACATGTTTATACATGGTTACTACCTTGTATTTAAGAAGCAAAGCAAAAAGCACGGGCCCTGCATGGCAACGCCATGTCTGACGATGCTTCCCTTCGGAACTCTCCATACTACAGCCCCATGGTGCCTTGACCTTCCGCAAAGTTGCGCGTGCTACGACTTCGTGGCATCGATACATACTGCGGTTGTGGTACTCGGAGATTTCGTAGAAGTCGGCGAGAGGTTCAGTCCAACATTTCGAGACTGGAGCGGTGAGCTGTCGATGTGAGCCATGCTTTGCGCGGCACAGGTACTTGTAAGTGATGCTAGGGGTCCAGACACAGATGGGATGCAACTGAATCCAGACCCGGGTCATGCTGTCATTGACCATTTCGGTTTGGACTCACTTGCTGACATCTTCTTCCACGTTCTCCCACGATAGACTCAGGACAACGAGTCGGAGCAGGGCTTAAAGAAGACCACTTCCAGATGGAGCACGGCTAGGTATCATGTGCAACTCGGAGTGGGTCATGCTGGGCCTGTGGGCCTGTGTGCTTGCGAGTGGCTTGGCTTGCCTTGAATGAGGAGTCTTGAGCTTCAGGTACAGCTTTCGCTATCTCTTGGGGCTCATGGCGATAGGCACCTTGCAAAGCACGATCTTGGAATGCTATTAGCCAGATGTTTTGGTTCGAATTTCATTGCTTCCCTGAATCGACTGCCTGTTACGAGATTTAGGATCTCTCCAAGCGTTCCATACATCGAGAACACGCCGCCTGCCCAAACTGGCGGAGTTGATTCAGGTGGCGTTGTTCTGCCATGACGGTGGCGGGCCGACTCTGCGATTGCTTGAGAAGCTGCTAAGGTTCTTCGCAGAAAAGTACGGCGGGGATGATTGCGAGGCCGGTTGCGCGGACGAAAGATTTTTGCACTAGCGGCGTGGGTTTGGAATGGTTTGGGCACGGTGACCGCTCGAAGTCGCGAGGCCCATCCGTCTTCGGATCCATGCCGAAAAGGTGCAACGGATGCAGCTCAGATCGGCAGCTTCACGGACGCGGCAGTTCCTTGGATTGGAGTCAAACCTAGGATTCAGGGTGCCGTGCAGTATTCAGCCCGTTTGAGTATGATTTGCAATATGTGATTCGGTGATGCCTCCAGCACGTGCCGTCTTCCAGCCAGGCGCATGCAGCGGCTATGTTCATGGCTGCAGCTTGTCTGAAACAGAAGGTAGCGGCCCGCTCTTGGTCGTATTGAAAGCAACCTGTGACGTGGAATGGCAGCGTGGATTCTTGTGGTGTCATACCGAGTCATGCGAGTTGTTGCCAAGGTCTGCTTGGGATCCTACAGTGACAGTCTGGGGCGAAGACCTATGCTACGGGCATATGGTGCTGCTATGTGAGCAGCTCGGGGTTTACTACTGCCGCCTGCCTTGCATGTCCACGGGCCGACTCGGGGCAACTTGAGCCGTCTTCCGGTTGTGTTTCCTGGATGTTTCAAGCGATGGTGCGTGCTGGCAGATGCTCCACGACATGCCCAAGAAACAGTTTCATCACACAGGTAAAGACTGAGAGGAGTTCAATGTCCCAGCATAAGGAGTTCAAGTGCAACTTAGTCAGTCCCGTGCTTTTGCAATTGGCCGTTTAGGCCATGGCCGTTTTTCTTCGCTTGTGCTTATTCCGCGGACTCCTGGTGCTTGCGTCTCAATATGACCCACACCTTCCACAGAAAAGTCCTTGGTTCGAAGGCTGGTATACTCGCATCAGCGAGACTCCATCTGGTCAATCTGTCGGCCTGATCGTGGGGCATTATCCGGAGAAGGCTCAGTTGAGTGATGCAGCGGCATATTTGGCGCTTATCATCGATGAGGGCAAAGGCAAGACAACCGTCGTCGAGGCAAATCCACCGGGATTGACGGTGCTTAAGCGTGGGGCCGCCATTGCCAATGAACCAGATGATGCGTCGGAGCCGGATTTCGAGGTCAGTGCTGGTAACGGCACACTGATAATGAAGCAGACAGGCACGCAGCAGCGGATCTCCATGTGGTTTCCTTCGCAAGGCTTCCGCTTCGATGCGAATCTCACGGACCCTGTCCCATGGGGTTCGTCCGGGGAGTCGCCTGAAGGTTGGGCCGGAAGGCTGCCTTTCTTGGCTCTCCACTGGTTCGTGTACTCCCTGAGTTCTCATGCCAGCTACCGGTTGGAGTCGCCACTGGGTGTCGTTCTCGGCCATGGCCGGGCGCATCAGGAGAAGAACTGGGGCCAATCCTTTCCCAAATCTTGGACTTGGGGAGAAGGACTTCAAGGCCTGCTGCTCTCATTGCTCTCTGTCTCTGGCTCAGATGTGTTACTTGCGGCTGCAGTTCTGGCAGGTGAAAGCAAGATCGCGTTCGCGGGCGGCACTGTGCCACTGGGACCCCTGAAGGTTCCAGATGCTTACCTCTTGGGGCTCCGCACTCCGAAGCTGAGCCTTGGACCGCACAGTTTGTGTCCGCGAGAAGCTCCGTGCTCCCCTGCGTGTGAATCCTGCGATACCCAGAGCCGCTTGCCATGAGGAGCTGGAACTTCCACCCACAGGATCCGGCCGTCTTCTGGGTCTCGAACGATGCCTGCCGGGGTCGCTTGAATGTCACGGCCACGGCTCCAAATCGGATGCTTCGGATCTCCGTCCAGGCGGACCGGGACCGGCAGCTCTGCGTTTTCGCCGGGTTAGGAATCCAGGAAGCGCATGCAAACTCCCCGCCCTGCCGCTGCCGCATCCGAAGGCAAGCGCGGAAGAGACGGACGGACTCTTCAAGGTGCAGGGTCCGACTATGAGTGGTTTCAAGGCAGACTCCTTCGAGAGCTATCGCGCGACGATCACCGCGGAGGCATTCTCAGGCCGGAGAAGTGCCAACTGTGAGCTGTGCGAGCGCTGTGCTTGTGTGGGATTTGCCATAGTCTTGGAAGATCCTGTCGCAGGCATCTTGCACGACAAGCTGGAGGAGAGGATTGAATTTAAACAGTCGGCCATTGAGTTCGGAGGTGAGGCATGGACGTGCCCATCAACATCATCAACTTCGTCCCGAGAAGAGCCCAAGCTTATGGCGCCTGCACCCCCTCGAGCAGCTGAGCCAAAGCATCCGCGGCGAGTGCGCCAAGAGCTGCGCAGCCTCTCAGTCCAGCAACGTGACCGTGTGTTCAATGCCATGAACATCATGAAGAACATGTCTACTCTGCAGGGCCAGGTGTCTTTCGGTCGCCGCTACGTCTCCTACGACGACTTGGTCGCGCAGCATCTGCAAGCTGCAGCTGCAAGACACTGTGATGAGGCACACTTAGGCCAGGGCTTCGCCACCTACCATCGGGCCTTCACGCTCCGATTTGAAGAAAGCCTTCTGGCAGTGGACCCAAGTATTGGTGCTTTACCATACTGGGACTACAACATCGAGGCCCGGAGCAAAGATCCTCGTCAGAGCGAGATTTGGGAGTGGTTCGGAAGCAGCGAGGGTGACCCTGCCCAGGGCAATGCAGTGAAGGACGGGAGGTTCGGGCACTGGCGAGTTGCCACAGCCAAAGAGATCTCCAACTTATCGAACTCCTTTGGTCTTTTGCGAAGCCCTTGGAATGTGAACCCGTCGCCTTTCATCACGCGACATCGCTTCTCCTGTGGCTCGCAAACTCATTTTGAAGCAAGCTTCTGGGAGCTGTGCCTGAAGGCACCTACCTACTTGGAGTGGTATGCTTGCGTCGACCCAACAATCCATACCTGGGCTCACAGCTTCCTGGGAGGTATTTGGGATACAGAACGCAACGTTTCTCGAGTGGAGTGCTTCGCGACAAATGCCATTGGCATCCCTGCTGCGTGGGGCGACGACTGCTTGCAGTGCCAGCAAAATTGCACAGAGCCACATGAGGCACAGCGCTCTTGCTCGTGTCAACGGTCCGGGGAGCTGCGCTGCTTGGCGGACAGGATCCTGGCCCATAAGGCACCGACATATGGGGACTTCGCCGATGCCTGGACATCCCCGAATGACCCCATCTTCTTCTTCCACCATGCCAATGTCGACAGGCACTTGATGACCTGGCAGCAGAGACACCTGGAAAAGGCTCCCCACTTCGGATTTCTTCAGCCCTCCCTACCATGTAAGGGCCATGGCCTGAAGGACATCATTGGAGCAGCTCATCCTTTCGACGGCGCATTACTGGGACTTGAGGATGGCCGCCTGTTGACCAATGAAGAGGTTCTGGCAGCCGATGGGATTCACTCAGGCCCATATACCTACGACACCCTTAAGCAAGCACAGGAGCGACCCCCCTCTTTGCGGAGTCGCCGCAGGGAGTGGTCTGGACAGGCTTTGGCTTCAGCAGTGAGGCACATGTCAGCAAAGCCAGCACAGTGAGAACCTTGCCGATTCGTAGGCTTTCCGGTGCCAGGCACCGGAAGAATCGGACTACGGAGGCATCAGTTGCCTCTTCTGATAAACCATTCTGCGTGTGCAGATCCTGCCACATGACAAGCAACACAGTACGGCCAAACAGTGCTTTCATGCAAGGTGGGTTACAGTTTGTTTCAGCCGCTGGTTAGGGCTTTTTCGTTGCTTGCGAAGCTTGCTTCGTCAAGTCCACTACCCGCAGGCTCCGGAAGAAGTGCCGCTTGGGCACCATCAAAAAGACTGCAACACGCTTCTTGCTGGGTAGGAAGTAGGCTTCTCTAAGGGCCAGGTGTGGAAGCAAGGGGGCCATGGTAGCATCGTGTACGGAATCTGAAGAGCGGTTGTGGAGCATCGCTTACTATTGGTGAATTGCTTTTTTTGGGAGCATCGACGAACAAAAGCATCTTTGCAGGTGCGACTGGAACTGATGTCCCGGCTCACATCGAACTTAGAATGCATGCCTGTGGTCCGACCCACTTGCTTTACTGTACTGACCGATCATGCATGTAGTCTGTGTAAACGGCGAGAGCCAGTCAACACGAAGGGCATCGTGTATGAGAGGGACTGTGTGCACATATATTACAGGAGTCCTAAACTGTTTTCATAACCTCTGCACTGTGGTATTTGACTGCTTGTTGAGGCTTGTGCCGACTCTGGCACTCGCACTGCATGTGTGTGGAGGCTGGTGTGAGTGTAGAATGGATCACACTTTGAAGAACTTCAGCTTGCTCCAGCATGTTTGTCATCTGGGGTGCCAGACTTTTCCAGCTTGGAAATCAACTTGCACTGGTATCTTGCTTGCGGCCCTCATACCCTCGCGTCTACCAGGCGTCACCCTCTGGCTGTACTTGATCTTGAAGACCGTGGCGGAGCACTGAGATGTTGCAGAATGCTGCTGGAGATTTTCAAGGATGAAAGGCAAAGGTTCAGCTACAACAATTAATTGGATCTTCGCTTGCAGGTCGAAGCCTTTGACATCAATGGCGCAACTTGGTTGTGCTAAACTCGGATTGCCGATGTGCAGCCATGCGTTTTTCGGCAGCAGAACGCCGCAGGTGCCAAGGACTGCGGAATAGGCCAGTACGCGCAGTTGTCATGTGCGGGCCTTCTGGATTGAGGTGGCGACTGCAGGAAACGGCTTGTAGATGGTTGGTGGCCATGTTTGTTTAGCACAATGTATCGTGTTTTGAATCCCTGAGTCACCCAACGCCTTGAACACGAGCCACGGGCGAATTCCAGTACGAAAGAGTGCGGCGCAGTTCTCGCAACCAGTCGCCGCGCGCTCTTGACTGTGTTGCCTTCGAAACACTCAGTCAGGCTTCCTTAAGGATTGCCCTCAATTTCTAGCAAGCACAATTACTGGCTGCTAGCAGCAGCAAAAGTACTCGCATAATAGGGAATGTTCATGCTGCCGACCAACACGACGGCCACTGTACTGGCAAGTACCATAAAGACGAGATGGGACTCGCGAACACATCTAAAAGCAACTGCTACCAAAATGTTCCTGCTTCCGCCACCACGGCCAGCATGCCAGCCGACGCCACCGCCCTCACCGCGCCACCGCCGCTACCGCCACAACCACGACGATTTTGCGATTTTGGACCTCAACTCGCCAGCTCAGCCAACTCCACCCTGGTTTGTAATTCGTTTATTCAGCCTGGGAACTCCTCTGCACGATGGGACTCGTGTTTCTGGACTAGCGTGGTTTGCGTTCTACTCGCTTTTCGATTTTGTTGTTGTTCTGGTTGCCATCTTATTTACTCTTCGTATCTGTATCTTTGGCATGAGCTCAGACCGCACCGTTGGGGTTGTTTTGGGGTTGTTTTGGGTTTGCGGGTTTTGGTGAAATGCATTTGAGTTTCGAACGTCTCTGCGGTTGTTGGGCCGGGGCCGCTTGGGAATCGGGGACTTGGACTGGCTGCGGGTTTGCGGGCTTAGGGTTTGGAGCTGAGGATGTACATTTTCTCATTAGTCGCCTTCGAATGCACTCACAGCCTTGTGCAGTTCAGATAAGCCTGGAAACTTGGGTTTTCGAAGCCCATCTTAAGGAGTGGCATACTTTACATGCACGTGTCCTCTCAGACTTTCGCATAGTTCTCATGTGTGGTACTGTTGAGAGTGGTCGCATGCAAGGCATTTTGTCTTGTATGTTTGGGTGAGTGTTGCAGCCAGTAGTGCTGCACAGATTTGCCTGGCCCTCGTTTTTTTTCTCCAGGGGTGCCCGGCAGTCGCAGTAGGCCTGGATGCAAAAAGGGTTTGGAGTCTTTGGGTTTGGGTGCAAGTCTGAGCTTTCACTGTTCCGGGGGCTTCGGGCCTCGGGCAATCCTCGGAGAAAGGCCGAAGAATAGAAACTCTAAACCCTAAGCCCTGTCAACAAGACACTTATCGCTTCGGGGCCATATTAGCTACGAAACGGTGGCTGCTTTCAGCTGTTCAACCAAACTTCCCTGCAATGCGGGCTTCGTCCTTGCTAGGTAGGAGGCACAACAAGCCCCAAACCGAGTGTTAGGTCGAAGCCCTAAGCCACGAACAAAAACAAATTACCCGAGACGAAAACCCTTAATTACTCAACCCTAAACCCTAGAAGATGTGTTGGAATAATTTATTGCTGTAGGCATCGTGACGAAGCCTCTTAGTGCCGTTTCACTTTGCAGACTCCGAACCATATGCCTGCCTGGATTGTCCGAGTGTGAGCGCCGAAACCCTAGAAGAAGCCTGAACCATCAACCTTGGAAGAATAAGCTGAAGAACCGAGGAACACATCTTCCAAAGAGCCCCTCTCAGCACCCTCGATGAGCATATTGATTACCAAAATCATTCCTAGGGTTTTTTGTTATAACTACAGTATAATATACTCCACCTCTTCCAATGTTTGAGGCCCTTATATGATCTCAAGCGGTGGCAGTCTTGGCACAAGGAACGAAAGGAAGGAAGCCATGGTTTGCACACCGGAACCTACCACACACCTTACTCGGAGGTTCATGGGTATTTAAAAGTGGGGTTATAAGTCCCTCGCAGGAGTTGTCATTATGGTTGCTTTGTCGCTGCTTCAGGTATACTTGGCGATGATGAGCGACATCATCGAGGATCCTCAGGTGGACTAGTTTTGCAAGAGTCATGTTCAGTCGCGTAACCAGGTGCTTGCGCAACATCTCTGCAGAGTGAGTGTTGAAGCTTTGCATGCCGGGAGTATCCGAGGGATAGCAAATTCATGCAAAAGTTATGCGAATGCCGCCGTTCCTACTATGCCTGGCATATGACAGTTCTTTCATAGAGGCTACATCCATTATGCACATTAGGGGGGCGTATCTATCTTCCCCATCAAGACGTGCACAGCCTCAGCAGTGTGGGGAAGGAGAGGGCTGCAGCCTTCGGCACCTTCATGGCGGCGGTGATGGTGCTCTTCGTGGCAGTGCCATGGATGCCTGTGCATAAAGACTCTGCCCATGGCTTGCTGAGTTGGTGCTTTCAAGATTCGACTAGTCGGAATGAAGGGGATGCCGTTGGGCTACGTGATCCCTCGCGGAGTGGCACTGGCGATTTCAGTTGCAGCTGGCATGGCGCCCCTGCTGCAGGGTGCAGTCAACAGGGTCACGAAGTGACAGTTTGGTGAGAGAGATGTTTAACTGCAGTAAAGTTTCAAAGTACATTGAAAGGCAAGGATGGCCTATCTCTTTGTCATCTTCCCGGAGACCTCCAGGTCATTGGCAACACAACTGCTTGGCATTTCCTTGCCAACCGCGTGCCGTACTCGTAGGTCTTCGGTCGGCCTAAACGATGCTGTTGAACTTCGGTAACCCATTACCCATAGTGGCCAAGATGCTCGCTGTTCTTGCACAGTCATGTTCGCGAGAACAAGCGCGTTGTGGCAGACCTTCTGGCAGGAAGGCGACGCAACAACAGTCGCCTGTGCAGAAGAATCCGCCGCTTGCCCGAACGGAGAATGCACGCCTCATGCTAGGAAAGTTGTGTCTTGATTCGCTGCGCTGTCGTGAAGGAGCCTTGCTCCTGGCTCCTGTGACCACATGGCATGTACAGTCTGATCTAGGCTGCAGACAATGGTCTCTGCCTGCTCCTTGCTGTCCAAGAATGTGCCGTGGTTGCAGCATCTACTCAGTTGTTGTTCCGAATCAGCTCATGTCTTCGTCTGCCGAATCTTGGGGAGGCCTTTGCGAAACGACTCGCCTGCGTTTTGGTGTGCTCGGGCATTGGCACTGCCGGCTATGGCGTCGCGCTTCCTCCGCCCCTGGGCGACTTTCAACACCAGGTTCGCTTCTGCGACGTTCAGCCTTTTTTTGGACTCGTCGTGCTGTGTTGGAGCATGCCAAGCAGCTGAGTTATGTGCATGAGAATGTAAGGTTCATGATGGGCTATTTGGGCTACACTCGCAGCAACAAGCTCGTGCTTATGTGCGTTGCGGCTGTGTCCGCCCTTGTCACTTGGAGAAACGGGCCGGCGACATGCATGTATAGTATTGTAAAGTCTATGTTACAATCATCACACCTATCCGGGTTTGGGTGTTCAGCTTCATATCCTCTCTGCACGCATACTCGGACCTGGAACTCACATGTAGATAGATATAATATATACAGAGAGATATACACTCGTCTATATATGTGTAGTAATATGTATATATACAGACATGTATGTACACCTTTCTATACAGAATATACAGATGTATAGACATGCAGACACCTGCCGGCTGCGCTAGAACTCTACCTGGTAGAGCCAGGTTTCGCGGAGTTGAGCGCGAAATAGGCTCCATAATAACAACAGAGAGCATCAGCAACCGCAAAAGTCCAAGAGCTTTGCACCTGTGGCCAACGATGGTCGCATTTCCTTGTTTTGACTTTTCAACAACGTGAATACTCTGAGTGTTTTGGTTTACCTGACGGCTCAAGTCTCAGGTGGCTTTCGGCGTCCTCTTGGAGCCATTGGTAAAAGTCCTCGGACAAGTGCGTACACTGCAGTTGTGCCTGGCCACCTCGGCCCGGTCCTCAATGCCCAGAGCCGAGTGGGCTCAGTGCCGAGCGCGGAAGAGCAAATCGTGTCCTGAGGCTGCCGTGCCGCTGCTCACTGCGGTCTGCAAGGATGGATGGGGTCAAATGTTGAGAGGACTTAGTGGTCGAGTTGGCGGCAGTGCCAACAGCAGCCGTGATCATACCGATGTTATTGGAATGTAGTAGTAGTAGTCGTAGTAGTAGTAGTAGTAGTAGTAGTAGTAGTAGTAGTAGCAAAGTAGCGATCATGGTAGCGGGCATCATGGTCTTGTTGCATGTTGTCTGGATGTCACCCATGGAGACCAGATGCAAAAAGGATGAAAAGGCTCAGCGATATCTAAATTTCAATGATATTGGCAATAAGCCACAGGACAAAGATAAAACTGCCACAAAGAAGAGGAGCACTTTAAGATGGTCGCTGCAGTTCGGAGGTTTAGGGTTCAGGGGTTTAGGGTTAAGGGTTAGCCTGCCAGCGCACTTCTCGGGAATCTTGTCCACAAAGAGTCTGTTTTCTTGCGAAGCATAGCTTGCCCACAGGTTCATGCGAAAGGGGTTCGAAGGCTGGGTCTCAACGAAAGACGGAAGGAAGCGAGTCTCTCAATATAATCATTGCAATCCTTTCACATCTGTGACAGAAAAGCTCAGGAAACCCTATGAAGCTCCCTGAAATCCGAGGATCCAGGGGTTTGATGTTGTTTGGGTTGAGGATAGAAAAGGATCGCCCGACAGGCGATGTCTGGAGAGAGGGATGCTTGGCTCCTTTGAAAAAACATACGAATTGTTGGCTGATAAGGACAGGAAGCCACTGGCATGAACAGTGGGCCAAGCCCGTTTTCCGTTGATGCAACAAAGTTGTTTTTCGTGGAGAGTGGCACTGCATGATTCTAGAACTTGGTTTTTCCATATCTAACCTAGTTCAACATAGATAGATAGTAACTCATGTGGTGCAGATTACAAAGAATTTCCAGACATCCCAGTGTCCCGTGTCGATGCTTTTTGCTCATCGAAGCTACAGCGCCGAAAACCTGGCATGGCCGAATACCTCATAAAGACATAGAATCACACAGAAGCCGGGCAGGGCAAAGACAACGCGTGGTGCTCACATGGTATGCCAACTGTGGACGTATTGCAAACTGAGCAGTCGCAGACGGAACAGCATCCGAAGCAGGCTGGAAAGAATAGAGCTGGTACCATCCGGATCGTCAGTCGCCATTGTACCCACTTGTCACCTGCCATGCAGTCGTCAGACAGCCATGCGGGAGCCAAAAAACCATCCGAATACAATGAGTTGGTTCACGTGTTCCACCGTCTGAAGATGGTGCAGCAACATGCCACAAATCACGGTTTCGTGGTGATAGCTTGAAGGTTGGTTTCAGAGTCAGGACTCGAACAGCATTCCAGGTCACCGGCTGCACCAAATGTCAAAATTTTCGGCGCCCGGAAGCCAAAGCAAAGACGAGAGTGGAGCCATCACGTTTCAACAAGCCCATCCCCAGCATCTGCCCTGCAGTATTGTTACTTTTCTTCTGCTTGCAGTCACTACCCCCGATATGTCAGGATCAATGGCAGCTGGGTGTGCTGACTCCAATTCTGGTGTTCCCGATCCTCATGTCGATACCTCTGGTTTCGGCATTGCACCTTGCCTTGCCCCATAGCACCCGTCGCTGTTGGGAACTTTGTCGCATGGCACATTCATGCAAGTTGCCAGCTGGCAAAGCCGGCAAGCACAGCTGGCATGGGTTATATGTCAGTTCTTGACTTTATGCCTCTGGTGGTGACTTGCCGCAGCTGCCGGTAAGTAAAGGTTTGCAAAAGCTTAAGGAGGCAGGGCTGAAGGCCTGCCAGTCAACTTGGCTGCGATCCCAGGAAGAGCGCTGTGGTCTCGTCTCGAGACCAAGGACTAGTTCAAGGTGCCGTGGCCTCCATGACGAAGGCGCCGGACTGAAGGCGTAGTTTTCGATTTTGACGTATGTCTGCAACGAATCAACGATGGTTTCGTCTGTGGAGCCCGAGTCATAGGGATTTGACCATCGTTGGCCAAATGGTCAGTGAAATGCATCACGCCCTCCTGTACTTCTAGTCCACCTGCCGGTGTGTCCTGCGCTTCTGTCATGTTGGGGCTATGCTTTCGCACCTGTAGCTTCATCAGACGGTGGGTGAGGTGCTTGAGTCCTCTTGAGCGGCTCTTCTCTGCAGGGTGCGTCGACGGCCGGCTCCCTCATTTTCGGCTCGGTCTTCGCCGCGACCACCGGTGGTGGAAAGGTGGCCTCTTATCTTGTGGACTGTGATGTGGGATGGAAGACTGACCGGTCAGCAAACAGGTACTTGTGTTCGGAAAACAAGCAGATTTGCGATAGCATTTCTGACTTTGTGGTCTTTCTTCGTCGTTTCCGGCCAGTTCTCTCTACAAAGTTGGGAGATCCTCGTGACAATGCATAGTAGTCGAGATGCATGTTGTAACGTTGGTCATCGCTCTCGCCAAGATGGTTTGGTAAGCTTTCGCTCGACTTGGGGATGCAGGCGAACTCCACTGGATCGGTGTTGCCATGTTTTGCTTTGGTTGCCCCTCGGCAAGTTCGGTACAGTGTGCAGTGCTCTTTGCGCAGCAGGTACTTGATGTTGTCGCTGGCTTGCATGTCGTGGTGGCATTGAGGCGTGCATCTACGCGCTTGCTGCTGGCATAGTGCTGCCCTTACTCACATTCTGGCAAGATCCTCGAACG